ACTGGACTGCTCTGACATTAACACTTCTAGCATGTTACTGGACTGGACTGCTCTGACATAATCACTTCTAGCATGGTACTGGACTGCTCTTATGACTGACATTAACACTTCTAGCATGTTACTGGACTGGACTGCTCTGAAATTAACACTTCTAGCATGTTACTGGACTGGACTGCTCTGAAATTAACACTTCTAGCATGTTACTGGACTGGACTGCTCTGACATTAACACTTCTAGCATGTTACTGGACTGCTCTGACATTAACACTTCTAGCATGTTACTGGACTGGACTGCTCTGACATTAACACTTCTAGCATATTACTGGACTGGACTGCTTTGACATAATCACTTCTAGCATGTTACTTTACATTTGACATCAGGTACCCGTTTTACACCTACATGTAGGTGGAGTGAGGAAAGTCAGGTAAAGCGCATTTCCCAAGAACATACAATGTCTAGCCAGGAATGCCAGAAAAAATGGACCCCATGACGTCTCAATCTCATGTCCACTACGCTAGCCAGTCAGCCTTTCAACACACTAGCTATAATTCTTACTGCGCATCTACATATCTGTATTTCTGTATCAGAACTGCTGGACCTGCAGCCCCTCCCAGTCACCGCACTGAGGGACCCGTCCCTGGAGAGTCTGTACAACTTCACCCACTTCAACCCCATCCAGACCCAGATCTTCCACACCATGTACCACACCGACACTAACGCCCTGCTGGGGGCACCCACAGGATCAGGCAAGACCGTCGCCGCAGAGCTCGCCATCTTCAGAATCTTCCGAGAGTACCCCAAGACTAAGGTCTGCTACTGATTGGTTATAATTAAGGCCACACCAACTTATTCTGTTGGACATTGTAAGCAAAAATTCACAAGAGGTCAAGATTTGAGAGAGCTATGAGGAAAGCTTTTATAACTCCCTGACCCTTTTATCACTCCCTGACCCTTTTTGTGTTGATTTCTTAGGCTAGGAATACAAAATTTAAATTTAATTACAAATCTATGACAATTTCAGTTGTCAATCTAAGATTATCTGTATTCATATCAGTCCTGCATGAACAGAATGTTTAATCTTTTGTTTACAGTCTAAGTTGTAGCCCACTACTCATGATCATACACAGAATTTCAACTTAGTTGATACCGGTATATCTCCTATGCTTTAGGCTGTGTATATAGCTCCACTGAAGGCCCTGGTCAGAGAGCGCATACAAGACTGGAAGATTCGTTTTGAGAAGAAACTAGGGAAAAGGTAGGCAACTTCATTCATGTACAACTAAGTGTATGCTGCACATAGTTATATTAATACACAACAAAAAAACTAAATGCATTTTGATCCCAATATTCTCATGAATCCTTTGGACCCAAATATTATCATTACATGCCTTCATCACCCTTATTGTTTCTGTGTTAATACCAGGGTAGTTGAGTTGACAGGAGATGTAACACCTGACATGAAGGCGATCTCCCAGTCTGATGTTATCGTGACCACGCCGGAGAAGTGGGACGGAGTCAGTCGCAGCTGGCAGACGCGCAGCTACGTCAAAGCTGTCACACTTCTTATCATTGACGAGATTCACCTGCTAGGTGTGTTTATGTCATATATTTACATGTATTTGTTTGACTGACATGCATCCAAGGCAACCCAAATATATCCCCATGGTATTATTTTTTTCATAATTGTTTATGACAGGTTTATTTCACCTATTAATGACAGGTTATTTGACAGGGCTCCTTGCAGACATTTATTTCTTTATTTGATAGTCTTCGTTGTTATTTTCAGCAGCCAGCAGGATAGCTGCAGTCAGGATAGCTGCAATGTGGGATAACAAACCCATTCCCAATTCTGTAGGTGTGAGCAAAACCTGCCTAAATAAGGGACTGTTATTTAATTTGTGTACCAAATAAAGGGAAAAAATGATAGGCGATAATTTTTTTTTTCTGACAGCCTTTCTTTCCTACAGAGCAAGTCCTTCACAAAAATTATTCCTTATGATGTACACCAGAATTCTTCAGTTTCTATGATTATAGTACCTGACTTTTTTACTATTTCCAGGTGAGGACCGTGGTCCAGTGTTGGAGGTGATTGTGTCGCGTACAAACTTCATCTCCTCGCACACGGACAGGTCCGTCAGGGTGGTTGGACTGTCCACCGCGCTCGCCAACGCAAGGGACCTCGCAGACTGGCTCGGGATAAACCAGGTTTTTATTTATTTATTTATCCAGTTGGTAGAATGTTCACCTTGCATTCAGCAGATCATGAGTTTGATCACTACCAGTGGACTAGCCCCCAGCTGTAGTGTTTGCAGTTCTGTGTGGCCCAAGGGCTACAGAAATGGAGAAGGAACTATTATGTAACAGTTACAATATTAGAAAAATGTTTTCCATGATTTGTTTGGGTATTATATTGTATCATTATTTATCACTGTACCTGAGGCATTTTCCTCACTCCACCTAGGTGTACTAGTAAATGGGTAGTTCTATTAAACATAACTTCAGTAGGGGAGTTAAAAGAAGGCAGAATGTAAAGAATGGGCTCTATCTTTCAATACTGTGCCCCATACAAAGTGGATAACAAACCACTGCCTCTACAGCCTCATAAAAGCTATTGACCTACATTTTGTACCTTCTAATCCTGACACTTTGGAGAAGATCAGAAACAAAAAAATTTAATGACAATGCTCAAATAGATAGATATTCTGTTACCAACTACACTTAATTTTATAGACAACACTTAGTAAAGGTACATACAAAACTATTATACCAAATTCATTTAGAGCTACCCAGAATCTGTAATACATTATTTACATTCCTTCTAAAGTAAAATTTTACAGTGTACTTTGGGGTTAATTCATGTGCTTCTGTCAATCATTTTACACTAGACTAAAGAAAAGGTAATGTCCAACTGCCATGTGAATGTGTGGTGCAGTACACTTACGTTCAGACGATCCTGCATCTCATTTTGTGTCCATCTGCTGAGCACTTTGATGGGTATCACACGGACTGTTCTTATGCCATTTTTCCATCCCGAGCTCCTGTGTTCTGTAATAAGCTTGGTAGAACCTGTAGCTAACTACTGTGGATCTGACTGTCCTTGCTTTCTTCAGGGTTGACATTTGTTATGTCCTAGTACCATGCCATCTTTGGAGTAGGTTTGTCCATCTCAGACAGTTCAGGGTTGTCGTTGCCTCGGAGATAGATGGTGTCCAGGTTAGCCTCCCTGTCATGTGTTGCTAGTGGATGGGTGCCTTCCACCTGCATCACGCGACCAGCTCCATGTGTATTGGTTGCCGTGGAGGACTCTTCTCCCATCTGATTCAGCCTTGCAGATGGTGGTGCTTCAGCCACTGCTATGACAGATCCCCCCTGTCCATGGCCAGACACACTGAACACGGCCATCTCCAAGTCCTGCCCCCGCCGATCGTCAGTTGCCGGGGCCAGTGCCACAGGAGCATTGCTTGGCCAACCAAATGTCTCCTTCAGGGCTCTTCGGAAATCTGCCATCCTGAAACTGTAGACAAGGGAGTTGACCATGGAGGACAGAGTCGTGTAGAGCAGCACAACTATTCGTCTGGCGACAAGCAGGGGAAAGATTGCCTGGGCTTGTTTTGCAACTGCCCGAGTGCCTAGCACAGTCAGGAACAGAAAGGCTCCAACCCACACTGCCAGGGTTATGACATGAGGGGCCAACTTTTTGAAGGCCGTGGTCTGGTAGAGCCACAGGTTACGGTTTTCATCCCTCTCCTGTTGTTTTCTGGCCTCCTTGAAGATGAGGAAGTAGGGGATGACCAGGAGAAGGTAAGGAAGGAAGATGAGCAGCAGGGCCAGGATATTCAATCCTCTCAGGATATTTTTTACAGCAGTGTCTGGGCCAGTGCTATCATGATGGCGAAATGTGGAGGAACCACACTGCAGGGTTGTGTCGGAATTCTGCAGTCCTTTGATGACTATGTAGCCAACGCCGTTCAGCAAGGACAAGCCCTTGATGACGAGCACGCCAACAACCACGCGCTTTGTGGTGACTTTCTGGTGGTAGTGCAGGGGGTGGCAGATGAAGTAGTACAGTTCGACTGCCATCAGGAGGAACGTGCCGCCCATAGCTGTCACCAAGAACCGGAGCCCCTGCACCCAGCACGCCGCCTGACTGTTGCTGTCATCTGTCTGGAAAAGGACGTAGATCTCAGTAGGAACCAGACAGCACATGAAGACGATGTCGTAGGTTGCCAGGCTGCAGCGTAGGTAGTTGCTTGCCTTTTGGAGATACTCCTTCCTGTAGACTAAGTAGATGAGCAGCAGGCCACACCCCACAGCCGCCACCAGGCTGAGGATGAGATATGTGGTTTGCAGACCGCGAGACGTCGGATCAGCAGATACGACACGATCCCAAGCCAAAAACTGGTCGTCTTCTGCCATTGTTGTTTCAGTAACAATCTACTGACAGTCAACTTGTTTATCGCAGAGAATGTTCTGATTTTGGTAGGCGTAGCTCACGGTGGATAGATATAGAAGGGACGAGGCAAACAGAGACAACCTTTTGCCAGAAAGCGCTGGATGGAAATGAATGAATAGAATGAAGAGTGAGTCAATGGAAAAATGTCTTGGGGAAGAGAATGTTACTAATTCCCACCCAAGGTATGGACCATTCCCCACGATAAAGCCTCATTCATGCTGCTGACGTCAGTCTCCTTTCAAGAATTTTTAATAAGTTTCGTAACAGGGCTGATGATCTGCATCATGTAAGGGGAACGTCACTTTTTATTAAAATACAGCCCTTTTTCACTTGGAGTCTAAGGAACAGACAGTAGGGCCATCAAAAATTAGACACACTAACTTTTAAGTTCTAGCTCTGTACTGCAGGTATAATGCGTTAGAGAAATCATACATGGGAAACAGTAATTAGCAAAAAAAATAGCTACAGGCAGCCATTTGCACAGTCTGAAACAACTTGTTGGCATGATTTGTTCTAAGAAATGCCTCAGTCATGACTTTGGTCATGCAAGGTAAAGAAGCTATATTGTTTACATGGTAGTTGTAAAGTGGTCAATGCTTCATAGATTTGTAACCTTTTCATGTAAGAGGAGGATCACTTTTGACTAGAATACAGCCCTGCCATGTAATTAAAAAGATATCCACATCAATAACTGTTGAAGACAGATTTGTAATGCAAAGTATGCTGAGACTGGATATTGCATGCAGCAGTGATGTGTTCTGGACAAAAGGATATAAATGTTTGGGATAAACTCATCGTAATATCAAGTGGTGCAGGTTTTGGATATTATAGGACATCTCAGTCTGCAGTTATTAGACATGATTTGAGTGCTACTCATAACAAAAGCCCTAATTAAAATGGCAGAAATAGTATGCATTCTGGCCCCAAGAAAGGGCACATGGAATTTGTTTCATAAACATGAGATAAATGATAAATTGCATGTAAGAGTATTGTAACAAGTTAGAAAAGGACCCAAATGATTGTGGATATAACCAGTAGCAAAAGAGTAGAATTTACGTACAATTAAAACTTTTCCTATCTCTAGTAATGGCTTGTTGTGATCATCACATAAAAAGGAGCCTGTTCAATAGCTAACCACTCTGGATCTCTGACTGTCTTTGCTTTCTTCAGGGTTGACATTTGTTATGTCCTAGTACCATGCCATCTTTGGAGTAGGTTTGTTGATCTCGAACAGTTTAGCTACGTGTTGGTAAGGGTTGTCTTGGAGATAGATGGTGTCCAGGTAAGCCTCCCTGTCATGTGTTGTCTGAGGATGGGCGCCCGCATTTTTCTCCCCGAGCTGCTCTGTAGATGGTGCTGGTACAGGGAAGCTGTCACGGTGGTGTTGTACTGGAGAAGTGTTGGCTATGTCCTGTCCTTGATTGTTTGGAGGTGGTGCTGGTTCTCTGTGTACGTCTGCTCGTACCGTTAGGCTGTGGGGATGCATGGGAGGCCCGCTTGCCGTCTTCCGTCCTTTCTGTCCAGGAGGTAGTCTCTGCTCTGACTGTGTGTCTGATGACTGGAGAGATAGTGTGGAGGGGGTACCTTCCGTCTGCGTCATTTTGGAGGCGCGACCAGCTCCGTGTGTATTGCTTGCCTTGGAGGAGCCCTCTCCTATCAGAATCAGCCTTGCAGATGGTGGTGCTTCAGCCACTGCTATGACAGTTATCCGCTGTCTACGGTCAGACACACTGAACATGGCCATCTCCAAGTCCTGCCTCCCCCGATCGTCAGTTGTCGGGGCCAGTGCCACAGGAGATACTCCTTCCTGTAGACCAAGTAGATCAGCAGCAGGAGACTGGATATTGCATGCTGAGGTGATGTGTTCTGGACAAAAGGATGTAGATGTTTGGGATAAACCCGTCAAAATATCAAGTGGTGCAGGTTTTGGATATTATATTATCTCAGTCTGCAGTTATTAAACATGATTCTAGTGCCACACATAACAAAAGCCCTGCTTAAAATTACAGAAATAGTATGCATTTTGGCCACAAAAAAAACATTTTCTTGTGTATTAGCTGATTCATAGGGTTAACAAAGGACACATGGAATTTGTTTCATAAACATGAGATAAATGATATATTGCATGTAAGAGTAGCATCTCAGAAAAGGAGTCAAATGATTGTGGATATAATAGTGCACCAGTAGCAAAAGAGTAGAGTTTACTTACAATTAAAACTTTCCTATCTCTACTAACGGCTTGTTGTGATCATTAGATAAGAAGAAGATGTTGAAGAGGATAAGGGTTGTTTTAGAAATGAAAAAAATTGAACTCCCTTCTGGTGTTGTTCCCAGCTTGGCATGTTTAACTTCCGTCCGTCCGTGCGCCCTGTCCCGCTGGAGGTCCACATCCACGGGTACCCCGGCAAGCACTACTGTCCCCGCATGGCTACTATGAACAAACCGACATTCCAGGGTAAGTCTGACATACTGTGTTTGTATTGTACAAATGGTTTAAGGCATAATATTCCAGTTTTGTACAGATATTTGATATATGTCTTAAAATATGTCTTAACAATCACACATTTATGAAATAATACACACAATCACACATTTGTGAAATTATGTACAGACAAATATTTAGGTCTGGCACTTTTAGGTTCTGTACAGTAAGTATATTGCTATATGTCCTGAAACATTTAACAATCACACGTTTATGAAATCATACAAGCACAAATTTATGAAATCACTTACAAATTTTTAGATCTATTAAACACTTTCAAGTTCAACTACCAATATGATGTCTGTGGTCATGACATGTCATGTGAACACCATATACATCTATGGTGATCCTGGACACTCACAGTTGACTCAGTTACTCAAAAAACAGTTACGCTAGCAACTGGATATGATTTTCCAAAAAGTTGCTTGAGTATACTAACTGTTTTTTGGCATATCTTATTACCTGGATGTCTAACCTTCATCAAAGTAACCAGTCTGAAGCATGTGCTTACAGTTGACTCCGAGATGTTTGTAACCAGACTGAAGCATGTTTGTTTGTTTGTTTGTTTGTTTGTGCAGCTGTCCGCACCCACTCCCCTCAGAAGCCTGCCCTGGTGTTTGTGTCATCACGGAGACAGACCAGACTGACTGCTCTGGACCTGATCGCGTTCCTGGCTGTGGAGGACAACCCCAAACAGTGGCTGCACATGCCGGAGAATGAGGTCAGTCTCGCAATAGGAATCATTTGAGGTGTCATTTTTTCCTAGCACTATTATAGAGTGGAACTCACTGCCAGCAAGTACAGTTGGGGCATCATCATTAGATACAGTTAGATGTGCAAAGGTTGGGTGTAACACGTTGTTCAGTGTATATACTATGTACATGTAGCTAGCTGCTGCCACACTGCGTACCTGCAAAGCTGGTACCAAAGGGTAGTTATACTGCATGGCTATACAGGTACAGATACAGATTTAGCAGTGTCTATATGGTGCAAACAGTATAAATGTAAGTGACCCTACTGCTTTCCCATGTGGATCAAGTTCCGTCAAGGGTGGTTGCAGGTTGAATTCCTTTGTTCAGATGTATGGATGAGGTTCAAGTATGGTTATGTTTTCTTTTGCTCTATAATTTGTGTGTGATGTGATCCAGTTGGACTCCAAAGTTGTCTGAATTTGACCGAGTCATTTTTCTCCAGATGGAGGCAGTGATCGGCCATGTCCAGGACAACAACCTGAAGCTGACCCTGGCGTTTGGCATCGGCCTGCACCACGCTGGCTTACACGAGAGGGACAGGAAAACTGTGGAGGAACTGTTCGTCCACCAGAAGATTCAGGTAAGAACATGGACAATGAATTAGAATGTTTAGCTTTGAGCATGGACACTAAGAACAATGAAATGTAAATTGAATTTTTAATTTCATTTCATAGATTGTAAGACTTATCTTTCTTCCTAATGTATGTAATCTGATGATTTTATTGTATAATTTGCCCTTTTTCTTTCTTAAGTTAATTTTGTTGTATGATTTTCTTTCATTTGTCAATCTTCTTTGCTTATGTACAATGCTAGCATTCTCATATTTTAAGTTCTGGGGAAGAAATACCAGCTAGATTTTTGGCCCCATTCTGTTACCATTTTTTCATATGCAAATAATAACTAAGTAAATAATGTAGAAGAGTGTCATTGTAAATGACTGCTCCAAGAATTACCCTTCATCTTCTTTGTGTTGTTCTCATGTTCAGGTGTTGATAGCCACCAGCACGCTGGCCTGGGGTGTTAACTTCCCTGCACACCTGGTCGTGGTGAAGGGCACAGAGTACTATGATGGGAAGACATGTCGCTATGTGGACTTCCCTATCACTGGTGGGTGTATTTATTTATTTATTGATAATGATACAGCTCATTACACGAGTCAGCACAGGTAGTAGAGACTGGTAACGGCTGTCCCTAGGTTGGCAAGCTTTTTTTGTCTTGGCAGCACCTATTCCTTCAGTTTCAAAAGTCATAGTACCATACAATTCAATCTTACAATGTGTCCATGACAGATCTAGAAAGCGAGGAATTGGATAGATCATGATAGACTGGAATGAGACTTGTACATGACTCTGAACAAAAACTAGATTGTGATTGTACTCATTTTAGAAAAAACAATGAAACTTTACAATGAAAGCATATGAATCAGTCTTTATTTTGTCTAGATGTACTACAGATGATGGGGAGGGCAGGCCGGCCCCAGTATGATGACCAAGGCAAGGCTGTCATCCTGGTACATGACATCAAGAAACACTTCTACAAGAAGTTTCTGTATGAACCCTTCCCCGTGGAGTCCAGGTAACAAGTATTATCAGGCTGTCTAGTTTTCAACTGGCACACATGGCAATTACAGTGTGACAGTGCAAAGAAAAGGAAACAGAGAACTTAAAATAAACAGAGACCTTCAAGGCACAATACAAATGTATTAGGAGATTTTCCCGTAAAGCTATGCAAAGTGAAGTGAATGCTGTATGAATGAATGAAGACTTTAAGTTATTGTTTTAATATTTTACCCTCCCAGCCTGTTGTCTGTCCTTGCTGAGCATCTGAATGCAGAGATCGTAGCTGGAACCATCACGTCCAAACAAGACGCCATGGACTACATCACATGGACGTACTTCTTCAGGAGGCTCGTTATGAACCCCAGGTTCGTTAAAAAGCATCTCACATACATCTCATCAGTACTTAATGAGCAGCAGTCCTTTGAGTCTCTGTAAATGTATTGTACATGTATTGTGCTGTTGCCCCTTTACTTATATGACATTCCCAGTGACTGTGTAGTCCCTGTCCTTGGTGCTGAATGACATTCGTCTGTGTGTATGGTCACACAAATATCATTATTTTGTTATCAAAATGTTCAGAACTGAACCTGTTTCAGTGTAGAGAAGTCTGGGATGAATTGTGAACTTTCCTTCCATGTAATTAAGTGTGTAACACCCATAGTTTTTCCCGATGCAAAGTGCACCTATGCACCAACACCGATACATGATGAAACAAAATGTCCTATCTTCCGTACAGTTACTATGAGCTGGAGGATGCTGACCATGACAGCATCAACACGTTCCTGTCAGGGCTGGTGGAGAAGGCCCTGTTAGACCTGGAGTCCTGTTACTGTATTGCCACTGCAGAGGTTTGTTTGTAGGCACTCTTTATTCTGATCAGCATAAATACTAAAGACCTGGTCACATTTGCCATATACATGAACAGTGTATTACATGCAGGTTTGCCACAGCATATTGAGGGCATTCTTGGAACATTGTGGATTTTTTTGTACAAAATTCATTTATCATGAGGTTCAATCCTTCTAGGTAAGGAAGTAATACTTTGGATGTCTATGTTGTGCAGGTTGATAGAATGTTTGTGGATAAGGGGAAGATTGACAGGCAGAATGACAGGTGGTCAGACACAGGAAATGGCTTGGAACATAGGAATTTAAGAATTTAGGAAGTAAGGATTGCATGAGAGACCAGACAATACTTCCCAGAAGTCTGAAATCTCAGGCTGTTTTTCCTGTTCAGGACAACCGTGGAGTTGAGCCCCAGACCCTGGGGAGGATTGCCTCCTACTACTACCTGAGTCACTACACTGTCAAGATGTTCAGGGACAGGATGACTCCAACAACGACCCTGAAAGATCTCATCACTCTTCTCGCTGTGAGTAGAAATCCAGCTTACAAAACAAGTCTTTGGGAAATGTATATTTTAATGGTGAGTTAATTGGAAACGTGATATTTGTGGGGTTTTATAGCTAATCTGTGGAAAACTGAAGGCCTAACCTTATATCCATACTATTGTGGTAATGATGTACCCTGCTGTCTTTTCTCAGTTTGGTTATTGTGACTTTTGAACATTTCAGGACACCAAGGAGTATGCAGAGTTGCCTGTTCGACACAATGAAGATGCACTCAACAGGTAAACTTCCACATATCACAATGTTGGCCCATCTGTGAAAAAATATACTTCTGGTACTATGCTGTACTTTATTCCAACACAACGGTACACAAGGATCAAATTTTCAATGACCACTGTCATCTTTATCAGGATAAGAAATGACCACTTCCGAACTTAATCTGCAAGATTTATGTAAAACATGATCTTATTCACACAAAACTTTACGGATGCGTGACGTCAGCAATTGGTCAAATGTGCCATGCAGTGCCAAATACAAATATTACAAGGCCATGCATTACATGTACTTGCAGGTCTGGGTATCTGTACATGTTAGTCACATATGCCATGTCTCAGCTTTAATGTATACTAATATGTTTTGTTTTCTGTTCAGTGAGCTAGCGAAGCACCTTCCCATGGAGGTTGACCCGTACAGCTATGACAGTTCCCACACCAAGGCCCACCTCCTGCTGCAGGCTCACTTCTCCCGGCAGCAGCTCCCCAGTACTGACTACCTCACAGACACCAAGTCTGTCCTGGACCAGGCACTCAGGATCCTACAGGTCAGGACTTCTAACCTTCTACCTGCTGATGTAGTGGTTCATTTAACAGTTTTGTGTTACAAGCTTATATATAGGCAGAAGAAAAATGATTAAACCACAGTATTACCAAGAAAGGCCAATATACTACTTGATAATCTATTCATTGCAAAACTACATGTACAGTATGATGGAGTAGCTTATGGCTTTAAATTTTTGCATGTTAAAGAACCAAAGGTACCTATGCTTGGCTGGGAATGTAAACAGTAGCAAAGCTGCATTGAACTACTCACTACTTGAAAAATCATTGTGCTTTGCTACAATTAAGGATGGCTGCTTTATCTTTATCACAATGGTTTGTTGAGATGTGGATATACAGGTACCGGTAACAAGTGCCTGTGAAGCTGGTGTGTTACTCTGATGAGCACTTATAGTTATACTGGCTATACAGATACATCTGATACAGAAGTACTGCTCTTCATATGGGTTCACCTTTCCCCTATACAATGTTCCTTGCTTTCTATCCAGGCCATGACTGACGTGACAGCTGATGAGGGCTGGCTGGTCCCCACCCTGTCCATCATGCAGCTCATACAGATGTCTGTACAGGGCTGCTGGGCTAATGACTCCAGCCTGCTCAACCTGCCACATGTACAGAGACAGCATCTACAGTGTTTCAGGTAAAATATATCATGGGTCTATCACTACAAATAAGAACCATCCAAACACGCATATATTCACAAAATTTGTCATGTATTACCTTTCATGAATCAATAGTCATAACCAGTACAGTGTATAAGATTTCTTAAACAGAATTTTGTATCATTTATCATCATTTTTTTCGATGTTAAGAATTTTGTCTAATTGACAATCTGACATGTACAGGAGCAGAAATGGCCGACCCATCCAGTGTTTACCTGAGCTGATGGCAGAGTGCAGGAAGGGACCTCACATCCTCCGTAACATGCTGCAGGATTCTCTCAGTCAGCAGCAGATAGAGCAGGTTAGTACGGGACCATCAGATACAGCTCATCTCTTCAGCATTGTCACTTTTGTGAGGAGAAACATATTCACCAGACATCATCATCATCATCATCGGTCGGCTGCAACGCAGGCGATCACAAGTCCATTCCACGACCGCCGGTCAGCAGCCAGCGCAGCAATGTTGTCAGGGCTCAGGTCACCTTCCGTGTCCCCCAGCATGTTCTGGATGTAAGTCAGGTAGCTCATCCTCTGGCGCCCAGGACGCCTTCTGCCGTGAGGTGGGACGTAGAGGGCGTAAGACCTGAGTGGCTCCTCTACTGGCATCCTCAGGGCATGTCCAATAAAGCGCAGTTGCCGCTGCCTCACTCTGAAGATCAGAGGTTGTGTGTTTGTGGCTTTGTATATTTCACGGTTGCTTACGTGGTCTATACGTTTGATGTTCAGCATGATTCTGAGGCAAGATGTAGCAAATGAGTTAATCTTGTCCTCCATGTCACGTGTTAGCACCCAGGTTTCGCAACCGTACAAGAACACCGACACACAGGTTACATTAAAGAGCTTGATCTTTGTGGCAGTGGGGAACGTCGGGTTTCTCCAGATCTTTTGAAGTTTCCAGAAAGCGGTCCAAGCGAGTGCCTTCCGCCTGGCCAGGTCGGTCTTACTGGATGCCATCATTGATCCTAGATATCTGAAGTCTGTTACATGTTTGATGGGCTGACCATACACTTCCAGTGGCGGCTGTGGGTTGCAGTTGATGGTCATGTATTCGGTCTTAGGAACACTTATGACAAGACCTAGTTGTTTTCCTGCAGTAGCCATTCTATTGAGTTGTGATTGCGCCTTAGGTATTGATGCCTCAAGCAGAGCGATGTCGTTAGCGAAATTTAGATCGTTTAAGATTTTGGCTGGGTGCCTACTTGACTGGCGAGGGTGTGTAACTACACCAGAGCAAGTATCCTCAATGGATTTCTTCATCAGATAGTCCACAAGTATGATGAACAGGAAGGGGGCAAGGACATCCCCTTGTAACACCCCTGTGGTGACTTGGAACGGTTTTGTAATGTTGCCATCCACCATAACAGCACTTTTTGAGTTGTTGTAGAGTACGCTAATGGCGTTGACGATAGTGACCGGAACACCATAGTGGCGAAGAACAGCAAACATAACATTCCTGTTGATGGAATCAAAGGCCTTTTTGAAGTCTATAAAAGTAACTATAAGTGACAGTTGGTGGGTTTGGAAGGCTTCAATGATCCTGCGGAGAATGTGTACTTGCTGCGCACAGCTTCTACCTTGACGAAAACCTGCCTGGTTGTTTCTCAGAATCGGGTCTACGTGTTCCCTTATCCTTGTCAAAAGGATTTTGTTGTATACTTTAGCTGCTATGGACATTAGGGAGATACCTCTATAGTTGGTCATGAGGCTGAGGTCCCCCTTCTTAGGTAGGGGAACGATGACATTAGTAGTCCATTGCTCTGGAGGAGTAAGTGTTACAAAGACTTCGGAGCAGAAAGCGTGTACAGTTCTTGCCATTTCATCCCCACCCCCTCTTAAGGCTTCTGCAGTGATTGCACAGTCCAAGCCAGGGGCTTTGTTGCTTTTCATAGTTTTGATGGCATTGACTGTTTCCTCGAGTGTGGGTGGGTCGACACAGATGGGAAGATCCATGTCGGCAGGTGGAGGGAGGATAGATGTTTGTGGTCCGCCATCATTGTTCAGTAGGTGAGAGAAGTACTGACTCCATTCCGTCAGAAGCTCGCTATCGCTAGATGGAGGGGTTCCGTCTCGCTTCTTCACCTTTACATTGGCTTTCCTGTTTTTGCCTGAGAGTTCATTGATGATCCTCCATGTGGAGATGTGATCACGTCTTTTGTCCGCTTCTTCAAGGGCATCTATTTGTTGTTGTGTAAAGGCAAGTTCATCGTGCCTATAGGACTCGTTTAGGCTCGAGTTGAGTTGCCTCCATATCTCTTTGGTGCGACGGGTCCTTGCAAGCAGATATTTCTTCTTTGCCGAGTCTCTCTGCTCACGTAACTCCAGGTCTTGTCTGATACCCAGCTGGGCATTCCACAGGATTTGTGTTTTCCCACCACCTTTTCCGCTGTCTCTGCTACAGCCTTCTCCCACTGGGCATACCTCTCGGTGATTGGTGTCGTAGCATCATCACACTGAAGGGCCCTGAATCTGTTTGAGAGTTTGGTCTGGAATTCTTCTTGTACTCGGGGTTCTCTTAACTTCCTCCAGTTGAACCTAGGTCTCCGACATGGTCTCCCCTTGGAGGTACGGAGACTGGTAGTGAGCACTATACTCAGGATACGATGGTCTGAGTCCAGTTCTACTGAGTTATACGCTCTACAGTTTCGTAGTGAGTTCACCCACTTGCCATTTATTAGAATGTGGTCAAGCTGGTGGGTGGAGCCACCTGGATGCATCCAGGTCCAAAGGCGCTTTCTAGGTTGGGGGAATCTAAACTGTGCTGGGCGGAGCTTGTGATCTTGACACAGATTCACTAGGCGGTCACCGTTGTCATTTGTCTCGCTATAAAAGCAGTGGGGGCCAATTACTGCAGGGTGGGCTACATGGCTGTCATGGCCTATTCTAGCATTAAAGTCACCAATGACAAGGTGCTTGTCATGCTTCCTTGCAGACTCTACTTGATCTTTCAATGAGTTGTAGAAGTCGTCTTTGTCTGTTGAACTGGCAGACTCAGTCGGTGCGTAGATGACCGGACACCAGACACTTCAGCTCATGGGCATGTTTTCAAACTACATTTCTAGCTGATCATGGAATGTTACACACTATTGAATACTATGGTCAGTGTAATAACTGCCTTTTGGCACATGACTGGTTGTCTTACATTGAACAGCTCACCTAATCATCATGCACATCTAACTCCAGGTATAGTGGCTGTCTTACTTTTAAAAGACTGTGTCTTTCCAACAAATACCTGTACTAAATGTTTTCCTCTCCAAATATGTTACCTTACTGTTCTCTATACATAAAAATACTGCAGGTGTGGAAGGTTGTGCAGCAGCTCCCTCTGGTGGATGTTGCCATGAGTGTAGTTGGCTGGTGGGAGGACCACCCAGACCAGCAGCAGACCAGGCCTGTCACCGTCACTGCCAGTAAGTACACACTGCCAAACACTGGAGATAGATACATGTAGCTCCACTGGTCAGCCATTTGTGAAAATATAACTATAAGTAACAAATTTGTCAAACACGTTTCAGCTAGGTCTATTATCAGATCGCCTGTCTTGTCCGTTGTAATTTTTAATTTTGTATGCAAACTCTTTGCAATTTAGGGAGTCTTATAAGTCTGTAAGGTTTGCTTTTTGTCGTCATGACTAAAGAATTTCATCAATTTCACAAACACTACATGTACATCAGAAATTGTTCTAAGTCAGTCTGTCTGTCAGATACAAATAATGTAATTCTATTAAGGAGACAGTTGAAGACAGGTACTGTTCATGATCAGTTGGTGACAATGATTGTAAATGTTGTTGAATTCTATACACTGTATGTTTTCATGCAATGGTTCTTGCCTGATTGACAGGTCGAAGAAAGACTGACTCAGAGTGGATGAAGGTCCATGCTGACCAGCAGTATGTGCTACAGGTCAACCTGGCATGTCTCAACAAGGCTGGCAAGGTATGGCCACTTCTGTACTCTCCATACACCCAACAAACATTCAGTTCCTACATAGTTTAACAAATATAGAGAATGCTGTCACATGTCATTTAGATGTACAAATTCAAATTAACCTGGCAACTTCCAGCTTTAACCATCCAACATGCCATAGTCATATAGTCATAGTCATGTGAGTATAAACACTCTATATGACAGTAAGAAGCAAAAAATTAACTTTGAAATACCTTTAATACCTTCAGTGGTAATCACCCTGAGTTTGTACTGTTTTGTAGACTAAGTTTACTCCCCGTTCTGCCACAGAGGAAGGCCCATGCACCACGGTTCCCTAAGGCTAAAGATGAGGGTTGGTGGTTGGTGCTGGGAGACATGGACAAGAGAGAACTGCTGGCCATGAAGAGACTGGGTCCTGTCAGACAACAGAGGGTTCCTCTGGCCTTCTACACACCCGAGGCAGTCGGCAGGTAGGTTTGTAGGAAGGGCACGGCCACCTTCAAACTGACAAGGAAATTCTTAAAGAATATTGTACATTATGTGAGTCATTGTGATACATGTACATGACATTGTAGTATGATTACAAAACAAGTTATTCTATGCCTCTGTTGTCTGCAAAAAAAAATTCAGTAACCTTACACCAAAAGGATGATTCCTACAATATGCATGTATTTCTGGATGCTGGTATTTAGGAAAGCTTTATCCTATACAAATGTAAGCTCATGTACATGTACATTTATGCCATTTGCATTAGCTGTACAGATTACTTGTGTTGATGCCACCTTGTGTTTGGTTAGGTACCTCTATGTTCTGTACCTGATGAGTGACTGTTACGTGGGACTGGACCAGCAATATGACCTTGCCCTGGAGGTCATCCCAGCTGACATTCAGACTCAGGTAACATTTTGTCAATTTTACTCGTTATCTCTCATTCTATCAAATAACTCATTACTCAAGAAGGCAAATACCCTTGAGATCGTTCACGTAAATGAGTGACAACTTTTCTTGTTCTGTTCTATTGTAGGTGAACTCAGAGGTTGCTGGTGACAGCCTTTTGGAGTGATCACCCTTTGCAATGATAACTGCAATATGGACTTTCATGACAAGCAAGTCACTCATTACCAAAAATGTAAAATGTCTGCTTCAGCCTTAAATGTCCATTTGTCATTAATGTACATATTGTTCAAAGATAGTACAGAGGATGTCAAGATATAGCAGAGAAAAAAAATTTACTTTAAGACTGATTGACACTGGATTGTATGTATTTTGGAAGATAAAGAATCTGATATAATAAAGAGTGCCTCTTCTTCGTAACCCAAAGGTTATGTTAGAAAGACAATGAATGGAAACATGTACACAAAGTAGAGGTACCGTGGTTAACAAAGTTGGTGGAGGGAAAAATGGTAAAAATGCATCCGTCGAAATGAATTGCATTTCTGGCACAACTTACAAACCTTTTCGATCCCTTGGATTGGGCCCAAATTGGCCTGCCATATGGTAGTTTCCTTGGAAAAAATGACTTTAAGACAAAGCAAGGATCACTCCATGACATAACGGCAGGCACAGGAATAGTTTTCCATCCCCCATTGCAGTACATATTACGCCTTTGGATTGAGCAAACAGACTAGTTCAGTTCAAAATTCCAAACTATTCAAATATGATAGTGGGCCTAAACAAAGTGCCAAATTTCCTGAAAATGTTGAAGTTGGAACCTGTTTAAAGTTACTGTTGGATGAAATCAAGAAATCAAGAAGATAAAAATATGACTATACTTTGAAATGAATTGTCACATAGGGAAGATACCATCACCTGGAAGAAGGTATGTAATGGTGTATTTACACACTCACAGGTGACACTTGCAAATCTGTTAAATATGCCTTTGTGCCATATTAATGTAAGACCTTAATATATATGATATGCATAAATGTGTTACATTTGTCGTCACAAAGAGCTTGCATAGCAATAAATACATGTATGATGATTACATGGCTTTTTATATTGTGGTGTTGATGATGTTTCTTCCTTCTTTATATTAACATTTTCATTACTAGTACTACCCTACTATTAACGTAGCTGTATATGATGGTTTCATAAGAGAGTGTTTGCTAAGTCAGCTCTCATAATTCAAAATCTTCAAGAAAAACGCCACACTCAAAACGATGTTTTGAACACCTGGCATACCTCAGGGAGAACGGATTGCTAGATCTTAATAGATTTACATTACATTTACATGTCTTGTGGTACCTTACAAAATATAAGAGTTGATGTTAAATCGACTACTCTAGACCTAGTTATTGTTCCTTGCTACAGCTGATAGTCCAGATGATGTTTTTCCTGGCGCTTCCCCCCACCTTTCAATCCTCGCACTCCGCCGTCAGTCGCTCCCCTGAAACGTACCGATGTCGGGGTCACGCACGGTTGGTGACACGCGATATGTACCCGGTCGCAGTAAAGGTGAGAGGGAACCGGTGCGCTATTTATAGACAATCCGGTCTTACGCGAACAACATTGCCCGGGCCATGGGGCAAACCACCGGGCCACGGAGGTATCCACATACCAGTGGTGAAGCCGTGTGCACAGATAATCAGCACCTGGAAGCTGATTTGCCACACACAAGCGGTTCCGGCAACAGCTTTGCGTGCACACTCGCAGGTTACTAGTATTTCTCTCCTTTGCCTGTACGTGCGTATGGTTCTTGGGACGACATTTTCTTCTCAGGGTAGGTGTGTACTCGTCCTCATACCTTTTTAATCAAGCTGAAAATACAGGATTTATAGTAGTATCAGGGTCAATTTGACGCGATCCTTGTTCAATGAATATGTGCAGTTTGACCTAATTCTGTAACTACTCTCACTGATTTAAGGGTGCTGCCACTCTTCACCGTAGCTGTGCAACGCCAAATTGTGTCACAAAAATCGGCTTCCTGACGTGAAAACGTTGTATATCGTCGTAAGCGGTAGGTTCTAGCCTCACTGAAAATTGTATGACAATTAATTCCTACGGTGAGCGTGGCTCAAGCTCAGTATTTGAAGGTAGGATATATTGAGGCCGGACGTCACATGTGAGATTACTCTAGTGTTCAGAACTTGTTCCGTGACTGTATAATACTAGTAGTATGGTATGTGAAAAGATTTCACCTTTGAAATGTTTCTGTTACGTTTCAAATATAGACTGATTTGTTATGAAAACTTCACAGTCAGGTAACAAAATAAGGTGCAACCCTTTCGCCATGACATTAATAGCTCTACACGTGGTTTTGCCCCTTTCATTGTACCTTGTGTTCTAGTTCTGCTATCTTTATCACTGTAGAAACGTTAACAATACGATGTAGCTTGGTCTGTGCGCACGTTGACTCTATCCAGCGAAAGTCGCACCTATTCAAAGTGGGTTACTGGGTTGCAGTCCGTGCAAAATGAACAGGTAAACACAACACCTGACCATGCTGACAGGCCTGGAGATTTATTGTACTGGAGACCGATGGCTGTGGTATACAAGAGATTTATTTTTCTGAATACTTGTATATGCCGTAGTTAAATGTCAGGTGTGTGTCCTGCACATTCTCACATTCCGTTCGCCACGTTAATTGTCACTAGGCGAAGGGTTGCTCACGAGGATTAAGGGTGGGTGTTTGTGTGACCTTTGTTCATACTGACCCCAAGTCCAGGTCGTGAAGGTCGCTTGAGCTAATCACATCGATCATGTTTATGGAGTGTCACAGGACAGGTTACACGACAATCGTCAATATTTGTTCCTATCCCAATGTTTTTATATGTTTTCCGGCTTTATACAATACTGTAACAGGTATACCAGTATTTTATATTTAATTGTGATCATGATAGTTTCACAGACAATCAAAGAGGCATGACAGTACGCGGGTACATATGGTTTGTTGTGTATACGTGTGTGTAATTTACCGGATACGTATCTGATATACAATGCCAGTGCATTATATTCTGCTATAATTAACTCATATTAGTCGTCTTTCAATTTTGCCTAGTGCACTTTTTCGAGTTCTTATTGGCCTTTTTTCCTCATACAATAACAAACTCGTGAGAACTGCTGATCTGTTCATAAAAACACAGAAAAACAGGTAAACTGGGTGAAACGCTCACGTTACAAGGTCCAAACAAACACTGAAGTCATATGTTTTGCGCGATTGAGATGACTTTGTTTCCTTTGCAAATTGGCGACTGTGGCGTGGCACTAACACAGGTATCACAGCCATCCTACATGTAGTATAATATATGCTCCGCACATGTGCTTCAATAGCCCAACTTGAGCCTGCGGCTGCCAATAGTGATAGGCACGGTAAGTTTGCTATTAGGCTTACATATACTTCTAGTCTTGCATTGACCATGCATTGACTTATCTGAGAGGTTTAAGAAAATTCTCACTGCCTGTTTATTACCATGGAACCCAACCCATTCCGGGTCCAACCCGCTTCACTGATGGCTTCAAGACTTATCAGAATATCGAAAGTAGGGCATATGAAGAGTTATCTTACGTCCTCACTTCCGTGTGAAGTTTTGTGAGCGTGTATGTGTATGATCTTAGAGGGATAAAAACTGTATTTCACTCTATGAGGTCATTTCATACCTGAAGATAAGGCAATGAAAGTGAAAGATTGTAATACATGTAATACACGAGTAATGTACGGCATTGATAGAACGAAATCCGCATAGTAGGTAACAACTTTCCATTTTCGATATCGAACTCTTGCTATGCTAAATGTCTGCCTCATCATAACGTTTATCGCTAACATTTATGTGTCAAAAAGCTAGTATAGTCAGTTCATCCAGCAACTTTCCATGGTTTTCAGACAAATACACAGCATGGCGAATAGTTAACAATGCTTATCAAGGGTATATTCCATCAACTTTTGCTCACCGTGAGAAATCATAAAATTTATTTATTCATTTATTTATTCCACATTTATGATTAATAACAACAGGAAAATAACATGTGCCTAGTCTGACTGTAGCAGTTGTTTCAAAGTTTACGACCTTGGCGGCGCCGTAACATTAAAAACAGACCTGTAGGTTAGAAACACAAATACTCCTAACTAGGTGAAAGGTGGTCCCCGCGTGCACTGTGTACATAATCCGTCTGGTATATATAGTTCATTGACACCGACTGTCGCATGGCGCGCTGCCAAAGCTAGGTGCTATAGACCATGTCTGTGGTGTAATCTTTGCCCATTTTTGCAGACAACAGTGCATGCAATTGCGAGTATAAGTTTGCATGTAAATTTTCTGTGAAACTAGGGACTTTGTATCTGTAGCAAGTAAAGCAGCACTAAACGTCATTAACCTTTCCTAGTTGTCGTATACCTGTAAATGAAGCCTGGTAAAATTATTCATATTACATGAACTTGAAAGCAACTGACAGAAAAAACAGAAACATTTAACGAAACGTTAACCTCAGTTGAATAGAAAATCTATCTGTCACTTTTAACACAGTTGGCAGCAGCAGAAGGAATTGGAATTTATGGTACCATGGTACCTCTAACCTTTCTTTGTCTTCGGTGGCATTTTCTGTCTGCAACCCGTCGGCTTAACCACGAGATATTCTAGCTCGGCTTTCTCGGCGTATTTTCACTCTTTACCTACTTAAGCGGGGTGCATCGTACTAGTACTAGTGTATGCTTTTTTATATCAGAAGTGTCCCAACTGTGGTAATTCCCACGCTATAACGCCATCACGAAAGAGCTATTAAACTAAACCATAAAAACCGTCAGATTTGTTTCCAGTTTGGGCACAGACCAGTCCGCGTCCCCTTAAGTATGTTTGCAGCTCTCCTGATATTGTGAGAAGCCTGCCGGGTTACTTATTAGTGTGTCTTCAGGCCGTATATAAAGGCAGTCTATCTATCAATATCTCACTCGGGCAGTCTATCTACCAATATGTTAAGGCAGTCTATCTATCAATATGTCATTGCGGTATATCTATCAATATGTCAAGTGGACTTGGGGTTGCTTTGGCTGGATAGATCGATGTTGCAAAGAGTGACGTAGGGCTGAAATTGCCGCTTAAAACTGTATAGCAACAAGAACGGACTGTTGTGCCAAGTCGCCCGTATTCCTCCTAACTGTACGAACACAAAAGCCTCTGGAACTCGTCAAGGTCAGGTTCGGTCGGAGCGCAACGCCCGCAGATACGACTATAGTGCAACATGCACCACATAAAGCCTAAAGAAACAACATTAACAGTTGTGTAGCCCGTTATAACTTATAGTTGTGCCAAATCAAATTCAAAGCCTTCAGAACTATATTGGCTAAACCTTGCATGTGGGCTCGCTTATTAAGCTATGTCGGGGCGCAACGCCCGGAAACACGACTATAGTGCAACATGCACCACATAAACCATAAAGAAACAAAATTTAACAGTTGTGTTGCCCGTTATAATTATAGTTGTGCCAAAGCAAATTCAAAACCTTCAGAACTATATTGGCTAAACTGTGTAAGTAGGCCTAAGCTATGTCGGGGTACAAAGCCAGGAAGCGCCACTGTAGAGCAATATGCACCATAGAGAACCTTTATAAGCGCGGACTTTCTGTCTTCAACGGTAAGTAACGGTGCGAACCTTCTATACCGTGCGTGCTTTAGTCTGAGGCCAGCTACTGATACAACTTAAGTCCAGTGTGGAAGATTCAGTGAATTCAGAAACTTTTCCGCTCCGTTTTCTTCAATGGGAGGCAATAGCGGTGCCGACATCCTGGTTAGCTATTCCACCACTGATATATTTGTCACGATCCAAAACCTCTGCTGAAAGCGCTCTTGTTCTCTTGTTTGTTGATTTGTCTGTCAATCATTTATGACAGATTTATCAATTTTAAATTCGTCTTTCAGACAATGCTGTATGCCTTTTCGATGAGTCGTCGATGGAGTCGTCTCTGGGCCGCCATCTTGTTTCTGACGACATTTTGGACTCTGACACTTTCAGACGACAGGAGGCCAAACTTTGTGTTGTTTATGGTAGACGACCTTGGCATTGGTGATGTCGGCTGTTTTGGCAATGACACAATCAGGTAAGAAAGTTTATATGTTTCATCCCTATAGCGTACTTCTTTATCTCCTTGTACAAATAAGCAACACACTTTACTTTATTTACGCAAAGACGCTGCAAGTGTTAGCTATAGTGAAAAAAAAAGGATATAAAATTTTCTTTTGAAGGTATCTATATCATACCAACAATTTATGATCTTGTCAACATGTCAGACATTATGTTTTGTCGTTGAACCCTACAGAACGCCAAACATCGACAGAATCGCGTCAGAAGGCGCTAAGCTGACCCAACACCTCACTGCGGAGGCGATCTGTACTCCAAGCAGGGCGGCGTTTCTTACCGGCAGGTATCCTGTAAGGATGGGTGCGTCAATAGTTATTACTGTAAACTATTATTAGCATGTTTTAAACATATGATGAAATTTTAATATTGACCATCTTTGAAGCAGATAACAAAATGAAAGTCCTTGTAGGTTTGATTTACCGTTCTGTTTGCATGCGAGGAAAGAGATAAATGATGACATCTTGGTGAACTTGATGAACTAATTTAAATGTAATCTCCAAGCAGATCTTTCGGTGGACGCAAAGACAGTATCGAATTGTCCAGACAGTATCCATTGGCCAGACAGTATCCATTTGCCACTGTCTGGCTAATGGATATTGCCTGACGACATTTATACTGTCTTTGCGGCGGCCGAAACTTCTGCTCGGAGATTAATTTGAATGCACCGTGCGCGGAAAGTAATTGTGTAACATTGACTTGAAACCTGCCCTTCCAGGCATGGCCGCTGGTGGGCACAACTGGCGGTACTTTCCGTTTGCCGCCGGGGCAGGAGGACTGCCTCAGAACGAAACAACCTTTGCGACCTTGCTGAAAGACGCTGGGTACTCTACCGCTTTAGTAGGTGCGTGTGTAACAACGGTCTTACTCGTTGGGAATGCCAATTCGGAGGGGGGGGGGGCAATGACCTTGAGATCACTGCCAAGTGGGCAATAGAGCGTTTAAAATCACGTGACTATGACGTACATTGGCTAATGTTTAGAGTATCAATCTCCTTCTACCTCAGTATGAATGTAGCCTCTACCAGGCTTCGGGAAGCGGCTGGAAAGAGTAGAATTTAGAAATTGGATAAATAGACATATGATATGCCAGGGGAGTTTGTCCGCGCTAAGAGAACAGTTTGTCTGACCAATTTCTATTCTTTCCTGCCGATTCCTGAAGTCTGATAGAGGCTAGTATGAATGCTCTAACTTTGCACGTTTAGAATAGAAGTTATTGAAATAAACCAGTCATTCATTCATACATATAGCGCACTCCGCCATAGAATATGGTCTTTAAACGCGTGTCGATATATCGATATGTTTTCTCTTCAAACAGGAAAGTGGCACCTTGGACTCAACTGCAAGACAAGCGATGATCACTGTCATCACCCGAACAGGCACGGGTTCGACTTTTTCTTCGGCACTCCGATCACGAACTTCCGAGAGTGCGCGGAGGGAGCGGACACCATGTATGTCAACACACTCGCATACAAACGCTCGCGCAACGCCTGTATCGCTCTCTTCGTCGCCAGTCTGGCACTTCTCGTCTTGAAAGTCCTGGGGACGAACAAGATGTCGTGGAAGACCGTATTTGCGTTACTTCTCTTCGCGCCTTGTTTTTGGATCCCGTCCCGATTTTTCTTCTCCCATCGCCTGCGCTGGATGAACTGCATCCTCATGAACAACAGCGAGCTCGTGGCGCAACCGTTCGACCTCCAGGATGACCTGACGCCGCGTCTGCTCGCCAAGTCTTTGAACTTCCTCAGGGAGAACCATGACCGCCCGTTTCTCCTGTACCACGCCTTCCTGAAGGTGCACACGGCGCTGTTCGCCACGGAGCGGTTCCGCGGGCGGAGCCGACACGGCCCGTACGGGGATAACGTGGAGGAGATGGACTGGGCGGTGGGGGAGGTCCTGAGGGAGATTGACAGACTCGGACTGTCCGAGAACACGTTTGTGTACCTGTCGTCTGACAACGGAGGACACCTGGAGGAGATCACACCAGAGGGCGAGGTGCACGGTGGATGGAACGGCATCTACAAAGGTACGTTCATAATTCATAATTTCTTATACATCATGGGGAACTTTTTCGCTATTAATGCTATTACATTCAAGCGCCTAGCTAAATGTTACATTACAAAATGTCGTGAAATCCATTAACTTTTGACTCGTGTTTTTATTTTCAGGTGGAAAATCCATGGGAGGTTGGGAAGGAGGCATCCGTGTGCCGACTGTACTGCGCTGGCCGAGGTCAGTATTTACGCTATACGTAATCGCAATTGTCTTTTCGTGCATGCATGTGTGTTCACAAGGAGTTCACGTCAACCATCGACATATATGTGTGTGTACGTGCGTGTGTGCGTGTGTGTTCGTTCATATGCGCAGAAAGTAATGGGTAATGCCTGATTGGTTGATTGATTATCGAGCCATTGATTGATTAATTAGATATTGATGATTTCTACCTCCCAGACAAGTCCGGCCCGGTACGGTCATCTCTGAGCCCACCAGTATGATGGACGTGTTCCCGACCGTTCTGACGCTGGCCGGGGCGGCAACTCCCGGGGATCGCGCCATAGACGGACGGGACCTGATGCCGCTGTTAGCCGGGAACAGGACGGTGACGGAGCACGAGTTTCTCATCCACTACTGCGGGCAGTCCCTCACCGCAGCGCGGTACAGACCGTTAACAGGTAAGTCCCTCACCGCAGCGCGGTACAGACCGGCAACAGGTAAGTCCCTCACCGCAGCGCGGTACAGACCGGCAACAGGTAAGTCCCTCACAGCAGCGCGGTACAGACCGGCAACAGGTGAGCGTTAGCGCTGCAGTAAACACACGTATCGCCAGAGGGGTTCATTCCGATAGAATGATTCATTTCTAACCTTGACTTTGCCCGAGTTCCCGTACTGTCCTGGATTTAAATTATCTAAATCAACACCGTGAGATATGGATTAAAACAGCTGAAACACAGATTGAAGTAGGTTAACAGAGACAGAAACAGTAATCTAATATTTCATAATTTCTGCTGAGACCTCTCCAATATCGCTGACGAAAGGTACCTGAAACGCCTGGCCGTTTCCAAATTCATTATCCAGGTGCTTCTGTAACTGTCTTTTGGCGTGTCTTGCTACCTGGATGCCTTAACCTTAATGCCTTAATCGACGTAGTAATTTATCAGTTTTCCTTTCTTATCATTTACAGGAAACTCCGTGTACAAGGCTCACTACATGACGCCTATCTGGGACGAGGGAACAGGTGCATGCTACTCCGCGTTCGGCTGTGGTTGCGAGAACAGTTGGGTCCACTACCACGACCCGCCTCTACTCTTCGACATAGCGAAGGACCCCTCCGAGAGTAAACCTCTAACGCCCAAGAACGAGCCCAAGTTTGCACAAATAGTGGCGAACATCAGCCGAGGCGTGGAGGCCCACAGGAAGACTCTAGTTTCAGTCGAGAGCCAGTTTTCTCTCCGTAACGTGTTGTGGAGACCGTGGATGCAACCATGTTGTAATTTCCCGTACTGCTCTTGTGACTTGAATGAAACTTCGCCTACCCTGGAGAATCTGCCTGTGTACGAGCAGACCTCGTCGTTCCCAGAGTCGTAGACTTAAAGGGCTGGGCTTATGTAAATTGAAGAAGAACGTTACACAATTTCATATTTTACACCAAAACAGTATTTTTAAAATGACGCATTTATTTCAAGTCAAATCCCAGAAATTGCTGCATATATTTGTAATGTTACATTGTAACCCTGTTTTATTATGTAAACACATGTACTGTGTACAGAGGCTAGATCATATTGCCTTGTAATGGCCTGCAAGAAATTGTGATATTTCTTAATTTTATGATGATCCCATGGTTTTTTTAGTTACCAACCAAAGTCAAGTAGAATTGTTTGATGAATGGAAATTGAGTTTTGTTATTTTATATAGGAAATTAATACTCTTCTCAGGTAGGTACTGTTATCATTATTGTTTTGGAATACCATATAAAAACAGCAAACAGGGTCAAGTTAATCATGATTTTGCTACCTACGCAGTCATTTGTGGACACTAATAGTTGAAATATTCAACGTTTTAACGTTTCACTAAACAGATTGAACGAATAGCGATAAGTTATATAGAGAACATCGTATGAATGTCCTTGGTAATATAAACTGTCAAGCGGCGGGTTTTAAAATTTTAATGGGATTTTTATATCATTATACAAGGATGAAATAAAATCATTTCGTATTTAGTATAGCAGTTTGTGCATTCTTTTTGTGCAAAAGAGAAAACGTAGTAAGAATGCCATTTTTCAGCGAGGTTGTATGCGTTATTTGTCCGAAAAGCGCAACAGTTAGCTTTTACAGTCCTCCAACATCTGCTTGGATTCGTTTACGTCATCACTTTGTGTGTAGTTGTGACGTATACACATGCCTACACACTCACCTGTAAAGTTTGACGTGTCTTACACTAAACGTCGTGGTCTAAGCCAATTTTTGCGGTGTTTACCGCTAGTCTCAGGGATTGTCATACCTTAACAGTTTATTGTGTGTACCAGGCACATAATTTATACGTGTGCGAGTGCCGCCCAGGTCACCGGGTGAGTTCGTAGCTTGCCGGCGGCGGTAGCTGAGACTGAGCCCAAGGGAGGCTCCTGGTCGAGCTCCCTGGTCTGGTCGGTGTGTCCTCGGCAGGATCCACCATGGTGTCCGTGGAGCTGGGGTTCACGCTGGGGTACATCCTGGTGGGTCTGTGCTTCGTGGCGCCCCCGTCAGAGTTCAGAGCTGCTGGAATAACGGTTCAGGTAAACCGTCTTCGTAATGTGCCCCCCTCCCCATGGCCACTGTCGAAAACATGTTTTTCCTGCAAGAACTTAGACTCAGTCTAACTTAGAGTACAACCTGCTTGATATAATTTATACCCGGTACCAGTATATAACGTTGATTACATTATATGAATGAATGAATGAATGAATGAATGTATTATATTACTAGCTTCGCCAAGAAGGTTGTGCTTTCATGGCCGTGTGTCAGAGTCTGTGTGTGTCTCTGTCTGTCAACAGTATAACTCAAGAAGGCTTAGATGGACTTTGGCACTCAAGTGGCACGTTTCAAAATTTTTGTGGTTTTAATAGATGTTTTTTGTGTTCAGCATTTACATGTCAATTCATATTTTGAAATGACTACTAGTAACATGCCCGTTGTTCTTACCTGTAGAACATTCTAGCTGGCTGGCTTGGCAGTGAAGACCTACACTTTATCTACTATCACATCAAGAGAACAGCAGCCACGACCCTCATACATGCAGCTCTCCCCCTGGGGTACTACGCAGGGTTGAGTATCGTCTCCCCACATCTTCAGCTATGGGACTTCGCACTAGCTCCCACCCCTGCTGTCGTCTACTTAGCTGTTTCTAGCGTCGTCTTCTGCGGAGTTGTCGTGATGAATTACCTCTGGTCGCGTAGAGGATGGGAGGGGCATCCGATCGTCACGAGACTGAAGAGTCTTGGAGGAAACTCCTGGAGAGCAACCGCATCCAGCATCAACGTCGAGTTTCGTAGGATCGACAAGTTCTCGTCCGGGATCGGAGGCATGCGGTTGTACATCACGGATTCGTGGATCTTGAAGACCGGGCCATACAATGTCAACATCGCGCACCAAGCGAACGTCCATCTGCACGTGATCAAGACAGAAGATCACGTGATCTCGCACGAGACGGGCACCTCTATCCAGTATCTCAGAATCGCAGTCCAACAGCTTTCCCCGGGTGGTAAAACCTTCACGATACGGTTAAACTCCACAGAATACGGAGACCTTAAGAACAAACTAAGTGCACCAATACATGCTGCAAGAGATGTAGTCATAAGGCAGTCTTTGTCGGACATGTTCTTGGAGGCGTTCCGTCATCAGGTTTCCCAGAACCCCCATTACACCCTCCCGGAAGATGCCCTGCCCGCCGAACCCTGTATAGGCTGTATGCAGACACAGTCTAACGTCAAGCTAGTAAAGCATTGCGAGGAGGGTGAAAGGGGAGAATGTGTGCAGTGTTACTGTAGACCTATGTGGTGTTTGGAGTGTATGGGGAAGTGGTTCTCCAGTAGGCAGGATCAGGCACACCCTGAGAGATGGTTGGCTGGAATATCACCATGTCCAACATGTCGGGCTAAGTTCTGTATGTTGGACGTTTGTTACATAGCTTGAAATAGAAATGGCTTGGAAGATGATTACACTATGTACTCTAAGTTGCCCAAGTACATTACATTAACTTATAACTTATGATTAGATTGATTATATATGTTCATAATAAGGGATTCTTGTTAAGGCAGTTTTGTTATTTTCTGGGATCTTCCATTACATGTTGTACATCTATGCTTGTATTAGCCAAGAATTATTCTTGATTGTTGAAAAAGTGAACTGACAATTATGCTAATATATCCAGAATATAGGTCTAATGAAGAAATGCCATGTCAAAATGTGTCAGGAATGTCATAGCCAGAATCAGGGCAGTGCACACTTAATTCTTAAATTTATGCAGTTAAGTTCATAGAACATTTTGCACAACAAGGAAAGATCTGCTGCAACTCTGAAATAACATTTTTTTTTCATTTCTAGCTACCATTTTGTGTTAGATGGTGGTAAAAAAAAATACAGTCATGTATTGGTTCTTTGGATTGCTGCAGTTGTCATTTAAGTGTTGTCAAGAATCCTTTTCTTGTGTATGCATACTGTACTTTGTCATTTCATTGAACTTGCAAGACAATAAAATTTGGAGAAAAAAATAGGGCACCATGTAGAAAGTTTTTTTTCTGTGGGTTGTCTACTTTCAGAAAACGGCAGGACAAACTCACTTCACTTTTCTACCAGCAAGCAAGCAAGCAGGTTGTCTATTTCAGAAGCTGGTATGAGGAATTTGAAAACGGGTGAAAAGTGATGCTCACTCGGATGTCATGCATGAAATCAGGTCAGTGTGGCCTTCGCGCGCTCACTCGTCACTCCCCTATCGCGATCCTTCAACAACCATTTAAACGCCTGGTGTCTAGTATGTAGTACCCTATCCATCACCCACACACCGTCTTTTCTGAATGTCGCGGTCAAATTTTGACATGTGCCACTGTTCCTTTCGTCTCACCTTGCCTTAAATTTTTATGTCAGGGCCAACTCGTGTCTAAACTTGAAGATGATCGTTTTATTTTGTCCCTCTATGTTAGTAGCCTGTTTCCCGTCTTTCGTGGTTTGTACAGTTCAAACGAAACGGTTCTATTCCTGCTTTCAAAATTGTCTTTTTCAGAGTAACCCTGGCCCACATACCTATGCTTTAGTTTTCATAGCGCACTCCACGGTACGTGGTTCCTTATCCGGCCTTCTAACCCACACGGCTAAGTATGGCCTGCCGAAGCCTGGTCACGGTTTATCAAATAACCGGCGCTTCTTCACTCCACTGGCACTGCCGACAACTTGTTCCAGTATTCAGTAGAAAGAAACCCAAAACTGTGGGACCAAACGGTGACTTGCAGAAACAAGTCAATCAGATTACTTTATCTTTGCACCGTATTTTAGACAAAAACGCATCACTGCTGCTGGTGTAGCTGAAAGCTGCCTTAAACACACAAAAAAGAGCTTGTTGCACTGGCATTTGAATTTGTTTCAGACTTCTTTCGTCGTCCTTTCCCAGATGCCAAAAAGCGGCGTGGGAAATATCAGTCTATCAGAATACTGTAACGGGCTCCCCCTCCGACATCTACTTTTGAACAGTACAGATAAGCATCCAATAGATGGCCTTTACATATAATCCTGGCTGTGCCTGTGATTCATTATCCTATCCGGGCTTAACGAACTGTCAGATAATTAGTGGCCTCTAGAGGAATCGACTGTTCTTTTTAATCGGCAAAACGTGTAAAGGCGCAGTCATATTCACCGCACGACGCGTAGCCTCTACCAGGCAGATGATATGCCAGGGAGGTTTATAATAGTCCGCGGTCAGAGAATAACTTGCCGTTCAGTTCACTGACAAACTCCCCTGGCATAAAATTATTATTACTTGACCGATTTCTACAGCCGCTTCCCGACGCATGGTAGAGATTACGATATTTGTTCGTCTGCTGTACGTAAAGAAGTGACACATATCGACAACCTTTTCCTTTACAAAATAGTTTGCATTTTGTAAGATACATCCACAATGACGTCCACAATTTTCTGTCGTACATCTAGGAGCTTTACAACGTCTTTGTGTACACCTACAGTGGCGAATATTGCAATTGGGTGACATCGCGGCGGAATGAATAAAAGCATGGCCCAAGGAAAATAAATGATGATTTTTGACATCCTTCAAAAGTGAAAAGAAAGCTATCAAACACAACTGTTTGTAAGCAGAATCAAGGAGGTTTTAACCTCCTTGGCAGAATATAAAGGGAATTCATAACTATAGAAAGACAAAACAAGCGCCAATGAGACTTCTTAATTTTACCTTTAAACTCCCCTACATTAATTCTTTGCAAAACATTACACAGAACCTTTGAACGTTTTGTATATCGGACCCGTATGAGCCACCCTTTCTCAGCTATGTCTGATTATACAAAGAAATCCCCTCGGGACTGTGATGACAAACAAAAGCCACCCGGCCTGAAACGGGTGATCCTCCCCTTGCATTGGTCCGCACACACGCCTACACCTAAGACACAGACACCGCCCCCGGCCCGGCCGCACCACCAGAACTCGCAGAACAAGTCGGTCTAGTCGCCCGCAAATTAACTATTCCAACCGTCGAGTGTGTCGTCATTCTATTAGTATGCGGCAGCTACATAAGGAACTCCGTGTCTGTGCTTAACCTTACTAAAGACCTTCTGATACAGGACGTGTTCTAGACTTGAGTCGCGCTGGCGTCCGGGCGTCGCACAGGTAAGACCGCACACCTTGTTCTTCTCCATTTGAATCGTCGCTGTCTCTTCTATTATTGAATTGTTGTGTGTATATTGAGGAAACGCGCCATGCTACATTGGTGTCATACGTAAAAACCTCAAATCATCCATAAAATTACCCCGTAAAATAGTACACACAAGTCGTTCTTGTACACAACACCGCTGAGGAGTGTTCTGTTTGTTCTGGCCAATGTTTTGAGAGATGACAGGGAACAAAAGGTACGTGCGAATTTGTTGACAATTTTGTGTAATTCGCTTCTAATTGTCTATCCGCTCAGCTGTAGGCGATAGGTGACAGGGGTGATGCCTTTGTTGCTTAGAGTCATGAGACTACACTACTAGTGGTTCGTGTAAAGGTAAGGAATGGCGCTAGAACAACAAATAAGTCATGTCCCTTTTCCCGGCCTCACCTGGCTCTCACACACAAAAGGGCGGCGGACTTAAGTGCCAGGACGCCGGGGTTCGGGATGCCTGTTTTGCTTTCACCCGTAGCTTGGGCACTAGGTTTTGTTGTAGCGTGCACCTTTTGGCCTAGATTCAGCTGGGAGAGACATTTCCCACAGAGCAGGAGACTGCAGCTCGTTCAAAGGCCAAAGTTAAGCGCATTCGGAAGGAAGCGGAACTGAACTGCATCGGTGGTTTCTCCGTGAGTACAGGGACGAGAGGCGCTTAAGGGTTGGGAGGGAATTTCTGTAAATGTTGTCAGCAAAAGTTTGGTCAAGATTGGGTAAAAAATTACAAAACTACCACACTGTCTAGAGAATTTTGTTGCAAGGAAATTCTCTTTTCTTCAAGAGCTTACGTTAACATTCAATTAAGGGACTTTTCCTAAAGGAAGGGAGCCGTTAGAAAATACAATAGCAGAAAAGAGAGCCAATGTTGAAAAAACGTGCAAAACATCAGGAATGAGCCGGATACTTTCATTTGCTTGGAGATTAACATTGAAGGGTGAAGTTGTAGCTGTGGCATTTAAAGTTGGTACTTATGGCTAGAGTAGATCGTCAAACTTATCTTATCCTTGGCATTCTTTCTCTCCCTGTAGACAGAAGTGATCAGCTCTCAATTAAGTCTGAAACAGATAAGAAGTCAAAGGGCTTGACAGTAGAATCTAGACTAGAGCTGGTAACAGGATTCTAGAGAATAACTTGAAATCTGATTTTAACATCTATCAAAAATATTAACAAGTGGGCAATGTTGGCATGTAAGTTGGTCTAAATCTCATTCCAAAGGTTTTTTCACGTTTTTTTTTGTATTATTCCTCAGTCTAAGTCTAGGACTGTACATTTCCCCATTATAACCCAATCATGTCTAATGTTGTATTTGCCCTGCTCCCCCTCCAACCTGGTGTACATTGCAACCAACTTCTGGTTTGTAACACAATGAAGTACTGACATGACCATGTAAACATTGCATTCTCATCATTGGATTTTGGTCAACAATTTTGCCAAATGGGTAAAAAAAAACTCTAAATATTGCTATCAAATTGTTTGCAGAAATATTTACATCACAATAAACATATTGTACAAACAAAATTCAAGGATCTGCAGTTTTCTGTTTGATAGATAAATGAAACATGAGGACTGTTTTGTTTGCTCAACATTTTCATCAAGTTTGCGGAAATGTTTACATTCCGACAGATCAAGTGATGAACTGGTCCTATCAGTCTTAACCCACTTGGTGGGATGTGCTCTGCAACGTTTACTTTCCAGGAGCTGTTGTTTACTAAAGGTGTTGTTTACGTTTGCTCTGTGATGTTTCTCCCTATTTACTTTATTACTGACTGGTAAGGCTCCTGTTTTATGTATCTGTAGGTTGAGAGGAATAAAAGAAAGATGGCGGGCAGCCAAGAGGGAGGGTATCCACCTGCACATGCACTGACTGACAGCGAAGTCCGCTTTCTGGTGGCGACAATTCAGGGCGACCATACTGATGTAAGAACTGCCCTCCAGAACAGAGGCGATGTGGATGTTACCTGCACGGACACCATGGGAAGAAACGCGCTCTTATTAGCAGCACAGAATGGACATATCAACATAGTGAAGACACTCCTCCAAACTGATGAATGTAAGCTGTTACATCTAGAAGAAGCCCTTTTAGTTGCAGTTGCCAAAAACGATCTTCGCATTACTGATGTGCTGGTCAAGGCGGTGTACGATGACCGTTTGGACGATGAGGATGAAGAAGATCGAAGAATATCGCGAGCATCGAACTCTCAGTTTCCTGATGAAATGACAGCGACCATGTTAGCAGCACAATTGGACAGAACTGAAATCTTGAACATTCTGGTCACGCGGGGACTACGGGTGCCGAACCCACACGACTACTTGTGCTCGTGCCAAGTGTGTGTCGACAACCGGGACAGCGACAGTTTTGGATATGCCCGGAGGAGGCTGAACACATACAGGGCACTGGCCAGTCCTACGTACATCTCACTAACGTGCAGGGATCCCATAGCACGAGCCTTTCATTTGACAGAGGAGATAAAGAAGGTGACAACAGTAGAACCAGAACACAAGGTGAGATTGTAAAATTGTCAAACTGCACAAAACCATACTGTATAATCTAATGATAGTTATACAGATACATGTAGTTTATCTAAACCAGGCTGCATTGACTGTATACCCCAGTGGTTAGCATTGATAGCTGCAAAATTAAAGCCACAATACATTGTATACTATGTAAAGTAAATCCCTGGTATGAAGGAATTCAGGTCACCACAGTTTGTTTGATTTCTATATATGATACAGCAGTATACATGTATCTGTTTGTGTTACATGAGTCAAAAGAATTACAGGACCATCTCACCACTACCGGTAATTCATTTCTGGCAGCTGAAACAACACCAGAAAATGACAAGCCAATATTTTCAATAAGCATCATTCAAATCACAAATTCGGGTCATTCGTTCAGACTGTCTCGGAAAATTCACTGTGTCAAACCCCTGACATACTGGTAATAACTATGGTAGGCACATCTCTACTTATGGCTAATGGCCAGATAATGATAACAATTGGTGGAGTGAAAGAGTTACCCATATAATCAATGAGACAAATGGGTTGCTAGGTTTAAGAAACAAATACATTGTTGTGCGCTGGTCTAGAGGAAAATTGGCTTGTTTGAAAACATGAAAAAATGGTAAGAGTTCTTAGAACCTTATTTGTCATTTTGACAACTCTGAAATATTTCACAGGTTGCTTCTATCAGCAACCACTACTAAAGCCACCTGTTAACACCTGCCACATTAGACCCTACGTACACTGTGTTACAATGTTTACATACCAACATCTATTAACTGCCTGATTGTGTAACCACTAACCAGTGTGTTGCTTTGTGACTCTCAGAACTTTTCTTGCTACCCACAGCATATTGATGTGTATTCACCTTTTTCTGCACACAGGAAGAATACAGAAGGATCCTGGTCAAACTGGAAACATTTGTGTCTGAGTTGTTGGATCACTGCAGGTCTAAAGAAGAGATGGTGGTGACGGTGGGGGGAGGAGAGGGGGAGAAGGGGCACAAGACCTCCCCTGGGGTGGGGAGACTACAGACGGCAGTGCAGTGTAACCAGCAGAAGGTGAGAAGTTCAACCTCTTTTGAATGTACATGCTGGGGGCACGAGAATGGTACTGAAGTGAAAACAAAATACATGATCATTGTACATTTTCTATTTGATTGTTTCAAGGTAAGGCCATGTTGATTTGATTATATGGATGACATCCGCGCGCGCATGAATTTTCGGCCGTTTCCAAAAAAAAAAAAGTTTTCAACCATACTGTAAATCATGCAAAACAGTTGCTAAATGAGCAAAAATATACCATAAGTTGCAAGGAAAACATTTAGAAACGATACCAATGTCGTAGAATGCCAAAATCAAAGGAAAAAAAGACAAAAATGTAAAGAAATGAATTCGAAGAGTAGATTATTCGCCATAACATATTCTGTGCCATTTGTTCAACCTTCAAGACCACGTAGATTTCATAGTGAAAGCAACTTTTTTTTTTTTTGCAAAACCTTTTTTTTTATTCGCACGCGCGCATCAGTTTTGGGGTTCCCAGAGGATGTCATCCATATAATCAAATCAACATGGCCTAATTTGGCATTAGGGTGCACAAATATTTCACACTAGACATGTTTCAAAGTACATTTTGTATGTTGAATGTGATGCAGATGAGGTCATCGGTGCTATGAGAAAAGCATTGTTTATACACACTCCTAGTGACACGGAAAATATCTGACCTTAAAGCAAACAATTCACTGTCTGCATTGACTTAATTCTCATGCCACCTCAAGCTTGAAAATAAAAATATATTCTTACATCTGAAATAGAGAAAACTTGACTGAGATGTGTGTTGAAGTTGCCTAGTAGAAGAAAGATATTGTGAAAACATAGAATGTTGTTATAAAAAGTAATTGGAAAATTCACAGTTCAGTGACCACATGCACCCATAGTTGAATAAGCCCTGGGGATAGAATAATAGACAAGAAAGACTCCCAAGAACCTTAAGACTGGAAGTATCTAAAATAGACTTAAAACTGGACGGAAGCCTTTCATAGATTCATACCCAATCATCTAGAGGATTTGACACGTATCTTCCTTTATGCTGAGAAGAGCATCATTCTTTTGTGTCGTAAGCACAAAGGTAAACTGCAACTTTTTTGCATGGCAAAAGTGCATTGTGGCATTTTAATGTTCACAGGCTGTGAGCTGCTTCAGATCAAATGTGCCTTGATGTTTTCTGCATTGACATTTTTTGTGACAATGGATTATTTTAACAAAAAGAAAGTAGTCCTCATACATTTAACACAGTGGTTATCTTTATATTTTTTTTATTAAGTGAGTCCTTGTAAAATATGTATGATGGATCTATAAGAAGTGCACTCTCTCTAAGACCTCCATATATCCTTATTGTGATCAGACTTAGGTACATTGTGTTTCTTCCAAAAAGATGGGAAAAAGAGTTTTACACAGTGTAACACTTTGTCCCTAAAAATCCAAAACAATGGAGACCAAATCAGTACATTAACTTCAAGAAATATGGAATATAAAAACAAAACATTGATGTGTTGCTTTTTTCTTTTCTCTAGTTTATATCGCACCCCCTGAGTCAGCACTGTTTGCAGCAGATGTGGCACTCCAGGTTCCAGACCTGGCGGCAGCTGGGCTGGGTACTGAAGCTCCTGGTGTCAGTCGGGATAGCTCTCACCTTACCTGTCCTCGCACTGATCTACTGGCTCATGCCTACTGGAAAGGTACAGTTCATGGATTCAGTATGCAGCTCAGCCATATCGTTACTACTCCAGAATGTATCATATGATTTAGTACTGTTGAGAACATTGAAACAAGGCTGGTGAATTTAGGTAACACAATGTTCTTGTGACAAGGTGTCACAAGAATATTATAATTTTGCTACGATCTAACAAGCTCAAGTGCATTTTTGTTTCTTCCATAAACTTAATAGCTGATTTGCCGGTTACTAGTAGACAAGCTATTTCTCAGCTAATAAGGTTTGTTCAAGACAAGGCTTTTTTATGTTTGTTATACATTTTCTAAATTGACTTCTCTTATGGAACTATTAGGGATGATGTGGAATTTTCCTCTTTCTGATCACAGTTTGGGAAGTGGTTGAAGACACCAGTGGTTAAGTGCATCATGTACCTGGCCTCCTATGTGGCGTTTCTGGTCTTTGTGTGTCTGGTAACGGTGGAGAAACTCACGTCGCCCCGGCTAGACAACGTGCAAGTGACAGCTGCTGACTACAACCTGCCACAGGACCTGGTGGGCGGGGCCGCTTTTCTGAGGAGGTCCACGTTTCCTGGGGTGATACAGTGGCTCCTGTCCATCTGGGTATTAGGTGAGTTACAGTCAAACAGCTATACAGTAATACTGAAGGCAAAAGTAAGTTAGATGTTCAAACTGCACCGTATACATATTACTGTTACAATCATGGTGACTGTGACAGTTTCTCATCTTACATGTATCATTCTCAGGGGCTAAATTTCAGGAACTGTTGTTTGAAAGTCTTACACGTTGTGTTTTACACCCTCAGGTTTCCTATGGCAGGAGGTGAAGCAGCTTTACCACATGAAGTGGACGTGGTACTGGAAGAGCAGTCCCTACAAGCTCATCGACCTGCTCTCCCTCACCCTGTACATCACACACTTTGTACTGGTGTACGTCATGTTCTACTTCACCAGTAGGGCTGAGAACTACTTCAAACAGGAGGACAGGACCGCCCTGCTCAGGAACAAGGACGGGGTGGCAATGCTGCATCTTTATCATCTTGTTGGAGGTAAGACTGTCAAATGTTGAAATGTTCCTTTCAACAAGAAATCATTACAAATTCAGTTTCAGCTGAACTTATAGCCTTCAGTTTTACAGATCCAAGTTCTACAAAGGACACATGACCTGTAGTAATTGGTCAAGTAACAGGTTCAATGCCTGCCAAAATATCACTTTCAGTTTGACAATAATGTTTTTTTTTTTGTAGATCGTGATCGGTGGAACTCAGGCGATCCTGTCTTTGTGGCTGAGTCCCTGTTTGCCTTTGCAAATGTCCTGTCTTTCCTGCGCCTTGGAGAGTTCCTTGTCCTCAACAACTCGTTTGGTGCTCTGTCCATCACAGTAGGTAAGTAATTATTAGGATACTTATATTAGGGTCTAATGTAGGTGGTATAAAATGTTATTCTTAAGATGCTCTTTTTTCTTCAGTAGACATTCAAAAGTCAACAACCATTTTGATTTAATCTAATAAGAAGCTTGACAATTCTTTTCAACTACATGTATTTTCCAAATTTTACAGTTTGAAAAAAATGTATTTTTACTCTCACCTTTTCAGAGCGGTGCATACCAGTGATAGTGAAGTTCCTGCTGATGTTACTCCTGGTAGCTGTTGGCTTCCTTTTTGCCATCTTCAACCTGTATTTCCTGTACAGTGGAAACATCCACATCACAAGGTGAGTAATACTAATACAGATACATGTACCATTAGTCTAGAAATTTTAGAGTCTGTGGTGTACAAATCAACATTTCTTGGACTGTAGGAATCTTGTTTGTAGTGTACCATATGAAATATGAAATGACACAATTCAACTCTTTCTTTTGTAACAGAGACTTATGCCAAAATTAACATTATAATAAAAAGTTTTATAGTTAGTGTAAAAGTTACAAAAAAAGTACATAAATTGTATCAAGCTTTAAGCACGTTCCACAGTTTGCCACAAATATAAAAAAAAGAGCTGACAAAAATTTTGTTTTTGCAGCTTGGACAGAACCTTCTCTTCCCTACTCCAAATTGTGACCGGGTCTCCTACCAACCTGTTGGTCTCCTCAGAGCGTTCTGCTGAGGTGACAGGTTGGCTGCTGTATGGTACATATTACATCATCGTTGTCATCGCTGTCTTCAGTTTGATCGCTGTCGTCTTCAACCATGCAACCTGCAGTGATGAGAAGGTAATTGTAAATAAGTGAATATCATCATTTTTTTTTCAAATGTTTCAGGTGACATTATAGTTTTCTATGATTCCAACAAGAAAGTACTAGCATTCATCTATTTTATTTCAAAGTAGCTCTCTTTCCTAAATCCTAGTAGTATGTAAGAGTTATTGTGTAAATGACTATCATGTACACATGACACTCCTGTATGTTTGGAACCGGTTGCATTGTAAGACCCTAGCAAGACAAGACCATATCTATCAGTATCATTTCAGCCAAATCTGTCTATCAAGGGACTTGAAGTAAAAAGTTTAAGTAACAGGTGGCCACTGTAGACACTAGACAGTCTTCTTGGGTCAATGGAAAGCAATTTAGGAGCCACCAAAACTCATCACAATGGCCTGGTGTAGTATGTTTTGTCATATGCATAAGTCACATTTACAGCCTTGACTATACATTGTAACACTTTAATGTCATGATGAAAATTCTTACAGGGAGACTACAAGACCCAGCTGAAGTTTGCCCAGGCCAGGCTGTACCTGTCCTTCATCCGCAGAGGAACCCTCCCACCTCCCCTGAACCTGGTGCCCACCCCCAAGTCTGTCTGGTATGCTGCTCGGGCTGTCTACAGACATCTATGCTGCTGCTGTAATAAAAGAAAGGTAAGGATCTTGAATCTAATCAGCTTGAATCCTTATCACAATGGCTGTGTCGTTATAGTCCATGAAGTGTCACACATTTGCTCCCAACCACTCTCCAACCAAGGTTTGCACTCAGGGATAGGAGTAGCCTTGGTACAAATGTTAATAGATGAAAAATGTTAACTTTGTAAGCGTTCAGGTCATATGGGTTGGTCAATTCTTGCAATTTGATATAAAAAATGTCTGAGAAACAATGTCTGACTCTACCATCACCGTTCCTTTGTTCAGACCCAGGAGATGTCAGGTGCTGATGTGGAGATTGGTGAGGACATCACAGAAAATCTACCTGCACAGTCAGACAGAACTTATCAAGTAAGATTCAGTATTACATAATAGTGTTACAGAGCTTTCCTGGAACTAGCTTTGCAAATATCACAGAAAACCCCCATTAAATGTTCATATCAGTAAGAATCAATAATAAGGAAGAATACATGTGTACTTGTACTTGATGATCCGCCTCAATTTGATGATACAAGATATTGAAAATAAGCCTATATTGTGTGTCTTCCAGCCAAAACAAAACATGTAGATGTATAAAATCTATTGCCTGAATGAACATTGTGAATTTAAAGTAGCTTGTTTTTCCTTATCAGATCGCCCAGCAGCATGTAGTTCAGCGCTATCTGGTCTCATCTACAAAGCAGCGGATGGACTGGGACTGGGGTGAGAAGTTGTGCATGTTACGAATGTAGATCAACCGAGTTAGAGAAAGACTGGTGTCAGCTAGGGTTGGGGTTGAATTGGGGGCAACTGAACCAAGAAGATAAACTAAATGTAGATGGGCAGAAAACAATTTCATATGCAACACCTTAGACATAAAAGACTGTATTGAATGCATCTGTAAGAGCTAACAGTTGGGGGATGCACCTGACAATACCAATGATTTTTTGATTGACTAGGAAATGGAAACAAAACTTCATACACAGTGATCCTGTTATTATGTGTTGAACACTATTCCTCTGAATTTGCCAACTGACTAACCAATAAGTGCTGAAAACTTACTTCCAGAAGACGACGATACAGAAATGCTGCACCTGTCGTACAAAGATGGCCGCCATCCCCGGAAGTCGCACAGCCTGACGGCGCTGGTGGAGCGACAGTTCGAGCACATGGTGCGGAACCAGCACGAGGTGTTCGGGAACATGCTAGGACATCTGGAGCAGATGACGGGGGCGCTGAGAGGCATCCTCTCACACCTGCAGGTGGGTGCCGGCATACTAGTGGCCTCTATCAGGCTTTGGGAGCAGCTGGAAAGAGTAGAAATTGGCCATATACTAGTAGATAGCTGATATGCCAGCGGAGTCAGGAGTGGCAAATTGTTCTCTTAGTGCAGACCAACTCCCCTGGCATATCATCTGTCCATTTGGCCAATTTTAATTTTTCCAGCTGCTTTCCGAAGCCTGTTGGAGGCTATAGCACTAGATAAAAAAGTAAGCTCACAATAATACAGAATTGAATGTACATAGAATGTATGTATATTCAACTTCAAAACAGGTTGTATAGAAGGTACACAATTTCTACAAGCATCAGTGTCATCTTCACTGATCATTTCTCCCTGCAGGTAGTGGAAAGTGAGGTGAAGGAGAGTTCAGACACTCTAAAGAAGAAGTCCACCATGCTGAAGCTGACCAGCTCACTCCTGTTTGGAGCTCAACCGCACAGCGACAATGGCACGCAGACCGACGCCGCACCGCTTCACGTGGACCAGGGGATACAGGCGGAGATCTTGTCCTCTTCTAGTCCACAGTCCAGTGCGAGCAGCCGGATGCGCCGGAAACAGGGTCGTTCTCAGACCGGCTCTGCTACCTCTCCCACAGGTAGCAGCTCCAATGCGTCTCTTTCCCCGAGTGCGACTTCGGGCAGGGGTGGGCTGGACCTGTTGCTGCCGCTGGATACCGTGACAGCTGAAGACCTACAGATGATCAAGCAGCTACAGGAGGCACGGAGAGGGGGCACCATGCCAACTAATCAACCAAAGAAGAGCAAAAACTCACTGGCCACTGTTCGTAAGCTCGGACAGTTGACCAAAACTCCTTCTGATCGTCGAGATGGCGGTGTCAATGGCCCAAGCCTTGATGGTGATGTCATGAATGACATCAGCTACCTGACAGACCCTGGGTTTGTCCCAGGTAAGAAAAAGACTGCTCACAACAAAGCAAACGGAGAATCGAGCCTTAAGAGAAACAAAAATCCACAACAAGGCAGCGTGTCTTCCAGTAAAGGAAGTACAGGAAGGCTGTCTCCAGGCATGGGGATTTTGAATGTCATCTCAAGGAAGCTGAGTTCTGGGAAAGACAAAAGAAGGCCGGCACAAGACTATGTGATAAGTAACATACAGCAGAGACCCGGGGTTGGTGGCATGGTTTCCACCAGGATAGATGATTCTGTGTTCGACAGCGAGTCAAGGAATTCAGACACCTCCGACGAGTACATCATCTAAACAGTGGACACCTGAAAGGGTGAATCTTTACCTGCAAAGGTAATCAAAGGACATAATCAGATGTACAGTACATGATAGAACATAAGACACAGGTTTTTGTCATCATCAGTCTCAATCATACTGCTTAGATGCAGCAGAAGTTCAAGCTGTAAAGATGCCACATTTTCACCACAAGTTATGAGACTTAGATTTTATGGCTACCAGTATTCCTTTTATGCATATTACCGGTAAATGCAGATAATTGTTGACGGATTGGGATGATTATTTAGGATCATCTAAAAAGGCAGTTGGCTTGTCACATTTTATATTGGAAGTTTTACTGAGAATTATCAATAGCTATACCCAGTAGATCATTTTTCCCTTTCTACCTCATTCTTATACTTGTGCAAAATTAGATACTAGTAGTACTAGTATTGTAGACTCCATTGTACAGTTACAGTGCATAGTGTAGGGAAAAGTTTCTAACTGTATGACAAACTATGTAGGTTAAATGTAAGTTAAATACACTTCATATTGTATAATATTGCCAGATTTGTGTTAGTCTAATTCCTCTGTAAATAATGTTTATTAAGTTCTTCTGAAGCTGAAAACAAAATGTAACTTAATGTAGATTCCTGAATTGATAATAGCAATACAAGTTAGTAAATGCAGAGGCTTGATAAATTTTACATTTAATCACTATGAAATTACTGATGAGTATGTATTGCTGTTATTGTTAAGACCATATGCTTGTCATTAGGCCACTGTTACTGTGTCAAAGGGTGATTTGTTGGTACACACATTAACCAGTATGTAAGCAGGATTGGTTGGATGCATCTCTACAACAGGTGTTAGCATGTAACATCACAGCTGCTATGTTGGTCAGTTGGACCTAGAAGAATCACACCTATAGTGTGTTTTGTCTATTATGTGACTGTAATTACCCAGAACTGGTGACTTAACAATAACTGTTTGAGTTGTGGTCTACAGAAGTCATAATGGTTGCTTTAGTCAGTCATTATGTAATACTTGTTGGACAATGATAGGGGTTTGTTGTGCCTTTGATATGGACAAAGCACCTTCAAAAATATATAGAATGTAACTGTTAGTCTGTTGCACAATGTGTTTGATATAAGCTACTAAATTGGCTTTTTATTCTGGTACTATGAGAATATTTAATAATCTCCTAACTTGTACTTGTTTCTGGAATAAACCGTGGTTTGAATTTCAATCCCTTGTTAAGATATTATGATATGCTTAGTTGGGAATTCAAATGCACAGAAAGAAAACAGAAACATCAAGTTTTCAAGTACGACTTTCTTTATTCTGGCAGCACTTGCCAGTGCTCTATCTACAGTGAGCTCCTCTTCCGGTGGCATGCGTTTCCACAATCTACATGTAGTCTTGGTGAAGGCAAAACAAATAATTTACAAGGCTCGTAAAATCATCCTCAAAACTAGCTCCAAAATAAAAGGCTATGCCTCTTCTAGTCATTACATGGTTGTTTTACTGCATCGGTCTCAGCACATCAAACAAAAATGGGCCCATTCTGTACAAATTGTTCCACTGTTGGTTACTGTGTGTAGCTTCATTTCCCAGCCTACATTACACATATAACTACTCTAACCAACAGAAAATTCAGCACTTCCTTCATATACACATAAAGCTTGTTACATGTATGGGGATTATCACACAACAGGCCTTTTTTCCTAATTGATAATCTTAAAATGTGGGAAAAGCTATCAAGGTACTTCCCTTTTTCATTTTAACCCATTATTTCAATTCTGTACTAGCTCTTTTCTCTCAGTCAAATAATCTCTTTCAGTAGTTCCAACCAATTTAAAAGGCACTTGATGTGGAAATAGCCAGTTTTCCTTGCCTTTCATCTTAACAGAATCTTTTACCTCGTACAGCTAACTTACCGTTTACTGTTGGTGGGAAAATAGTATCAAGTTGGCTACCATTATTTCGACAGTTTTCAGATGTAACAATCATGGTTTTGGTACTTGGAATCCATTATGTAAACTGGGAAATGAGGCTACTAAATGTTAGGTACTAATAGGGAAACAGTTTTGCTTACCACACATAGGTCTGGCCCGCCTTGCAAACTACTGGAGTGGAATTCAGGGGTTTTCTCAGCCTTTACTTTTTTCTGCCACACATTAAAGCCAACCCCAAGCTCACCTCCTGTCCAAATGGTCATCTAATTTTGTTCATATGAAACATGACACTTTTCTCGGTCAAGATGACAGAATGGCCATGATAAGTTTCTCCTTCATTAGCAACAATCAGTGAGTCCATCAACGAGAGTAGGGTAATTTAAACCTGGATGAATTTCACAAGACCAGCCAGACCAATGGTAAGTAACGTCAGCACACCTGCTTTTAGCAAGCAGCATACCTTTAGTTATACAGAAAAAACTGGAGAAGCATAGCGAACCAGACAAATTTGAAAAATCTGCAGTCCTCGTCGATTTATGGATTGGGTACATTTATACAGAACTTCCGGAGAAGGAAAATCTATTATAATCTACAGTAAATGCAGAGAGTGAAGTTATAGATAATTTCTTACAATTTCTTCAGAGCTGTACAGGGGTTCCAGTAAAAATGACATAAAATCAGCAGATTTCATCACTTACAATGTCAGTTAATATAGTCCTGGAAGTTTGGTCAAGTCGACCAAGATAAAACACGGACGTTACTAACCGTTAATATGTACACTCGAGTCTGTAGCATGTGGCGTGGTGTGGGTTACGTCTCCTACAAACTATTTGTTTGCAAAAATCACTTCGTCAATGAAGTTCAAATCGTGTGGATCCATATAATTCATGTTCGTGTTTGGTCCCATCGGCATCTGCCTGTCCGGTAAATTCTCTACCATGTTCCCGTGGAATTCCGTGCCCGAAGGCTTCGGGTACGCCGCCAACTGCGGCATCTGCCCCATCGCCATTGGCTGCGCCATCCTCGCCATGTTGGTTCCTGATTGGTTCATCATCTGCACCCCGGGGGGTATCGTCATTTGGCCCTTGTTTGGCATCTGCCCCATCAGCTGCCTTTGTTGTTGGTTCATGTGCGCGGCAGCCATGTTCATCCGATTGGAATAGTTCTGCGCCGCCATTGGTCCGTCCTGCGAGTTCGGCGGGAACGAGCCGCCCATGAACTGTCCCTGTCTGGTGAACGCGGCTGACGTCGGCGGTTGGTTCGGCGCCGCGTTGCCGTACCCTTCCCGCTGGTATTGCGCCCACATGTCCTGGTCTGAGGTCGACCGACACGCGCTGGTGGTGTACACTCTCTGAGCGGTGGATATGGTCGCGGTAGCGGAGTGGGGTCCTGCCATGTGGGGTGGCAGGGGCTGGGTGGTGGGGGGGTGGCCAGGGTTGTACCCCTGTCTGCCATCTAACGGCATGTCCCCTCCGAATCCCTGCATGGATGACTGGGAATGTGTCCTGTCTCTTGGTCCTCCCGGCATCATCTGTGCCTGGCCCATGTCCATGTGTGCTTTGGCTGTGCTGATGTGCTGTACGTTCTGTTTAAACACCTGGTTGGTGGAAGCTGTTGGAGGTTGGCTCCATCCGATTTCTTGTTTCACCTCTGCCTGCCTGAAGCCCACAGCGTGCGGATTGACCACACCGGCCTGACTCTTCATACCAGACATGCCCATAGCAGGAACACCTGCCTTCATGGCCTGGAAGTTCGGGTTGCCCTGCTGTGCCTTCATCTGTGCAGTGGCCTCTCCGTAGTCCGGTGGGGGCCGGTTCAGGTAATGCTGCATCTGGCTCTGCATGTGCTGTTCCATCAGGTGTTCTGGCATGCCTGGGTGCTGCTGTTGCTGCTGCTGTTGTTGCTGCTGTCGCTGTAGAAGCTGTGCCTGCACAGCATTTCTGGCAGCTATGCTGCTGGTCTTGTCCACACCGGCCTGGGAATGTGTGGGGAGGGCGCGGTACTGCAGGTTCAGCTTCTGCTGCTGTTGCTGCTGCTGCTGCCTGGCCTGGAGGAGCCGCATGTGCTCCACCGTCATGCCCTGCTGCTGCGCCGCCTGCCACTGGCCGTTTCCCGCAGGCCCCGGCTGCTGCGGGTGGTACTGCCCGACGTTCTGCTTCATCGCTGGCGGTGGCGGTCTGGCGGGCTCCTGCTGCCCGTACGCGTGCATCTGTGATATCGGCGGGAGCTGCGGTTTCATCTCCGGTCCGGAGTAGTGCGAGAGCGGCTTGGTGTTGGCCATGGTGAGGGACGTGATCGCTGCTCTGTTGACGTCGCTGTGACTGGAGTGTACGGGGTGGCTGTTCAGCGGACCGCCCGGCATGTTTGGCTCCAGGTGCATGACGGGCTGCTGGTCGGGGTGGAACCCGTGGGGAGAGCCCATCGGCCCCGCGCCGTCCATGTAGCCGGAACATGTGGTGGTGCGGGAGGGCTGGGCCTGAGACTGGATGCAGGGGTGGGGGTTCGCCTGCATGTGGGGCGCGGACTGGGGAACGGCTTGTTGTACTCTACAAGGCGCCACTTGGTGGGGCGGCATGGACGTGTTCCAGTGCTCCGTACCACTCTGCTTCTGAGCAGCCATCTGTTTGAGCTGCTCTGCCGCCAGACTCACGTTTTCCTGCGGCATGGAAACCATCCCCCTCTGGTTGCCTGCACTTGCGCCATCCTGACTGCTACCCATGCGAGTGGACATGTTGGGGTCATTTTGGCCAAAGTTCATCGGACTGCACTGGTTCTGAATCGGGTCCTGTGCTGCCTTACTGAAACTGGCATCACTGGTGGGCAATATGTGATCTATCTGTTGTTTCTGGTCAGGATGGAATGGACTGCCCTGTTGTTCCCCATTCACAGCCCCATCCAACAACCCAGCATCCCCCTTTTCCCTTATACTGTCCAGAATCTTGTCAAATTCGTTAATCTGTGACCGTAAGTCTTCCTCCGGCCACTCTGGGTTTTCCAGTTCATCCAGAATGTTCATGAAGTCTTTGTCACTCATGTTGATGTCACTGGAGCTGAGAGCAGCCTTCAGGGTGTTAAGGACATCAGGGAAACCTTGGTCATTCTGACATGAGTTATCCTCCAGCTGAGGCTCCTGTTTGCACTCCACGGGCAGGTTGGTGGCGGGAGAGTGCGAGTTAGCACCGGCCGCCTCTGCCGCGTGGTCTTGCGTCCGCGTATCCTCAAGTCCAGCCTCGGATTTCATGACCGTGTCGGGCGTGTGGCTCTGCTTGATGGCGCCGACATTCTCCACCGGGTTTCCCACCGGGAAGCCATGCAGGTTGTGCGACTGGTTGGTTGCTTCGCTGGTTTTGGTCTTCTTCGTGGTGTGGTTTTCTTCCACCCCGTCTGCCGCTGGATCAGAAGCCTGGCTGCCAGAGCCTCCCAGTTTTCTCTTCAACTGAAACATATCATGCAAAACACTTGGTTACCATACAGATACCAAGACTGGAAAGACAGGCTGTTTTAACAGTCTTTGGGGAGGAGTAGGTACTTCTATCAAAAATGTGAAGTAGAGTATTCATAATACGGTAATATTCTATAATAATATTTCATCTTTACTTGTGACAAAATTAACAACAATCATTTTGCTACATTTTGGAAGGGGCCCAATTTTTAACTAATAGTTAGTCAATATTTCTAACAAAAATTGCTAAAATAACAAATACATGACAAGTTGACCTAATCAAAATATACTTACAAGAACAGGGTTAACATAAACACAACACACTACGAAGACACTACTAGCATGTCCTACTAATTTCACTTATGCCATAAAAGTAAAGGAGGGACAGAGGAAAGAATAGCAAGGTGTTGAATCAGTGTCTGAGTAGCCAGGTCATTTTTCCACACCACTTCACACCATACATTCTGTATGACCAGAGGAATGTACTCTAATGAGTAGAAGAATCTCTGGACTTTCCAATCGCAAACCCAGGCCCTTTTAAACCACAGCACAAGAAACACTACACAACTGGAATATTTTAACAGACTACCAAATGTTAACCTACTTGGCACGTAGCTTACATAACATAACAGGTTATATACTAGTGATAGTTAAACTGGAGGCCAATTGGCAACAACAACATAACATGCTGCCAGTTTCCTGTTGACACAATGCTTGTGACCAATAGGCAGGGTAGGCGGCGAGCCTAGCCTAGGTCAACAGTAGGGGATGATTCATTGAGGGCTGGGGGTACAGAGGGATGGAATGTAGACTGGAATGTGGTGGGTATTCTGGCCCTGTTGTCCACTCATACCCTGCATTTGTCTGCTGGGACACAGCCCGCTGTTACAAACAAAGCCCTGGACGGAGGAACACACATATGTGGCACCCTCTCTTACCTTTAGAGCTTGTGAGTTAGTTGTAGTCTGTTCAGTAGTAACTTAGTAATGACAAAGCAGAATTTTAACCAAATTCTCTATAGTAATGGTATGAAATTTGAAAAAATCTAACTTTATAATGCATCAATTCAGGAAATTATGATTGTTTGATAGACTAAATGTCTGAATTCTTGGCTAAATTTTATGCCCACAGAGACCATGAATGTCCTTTCATAAGGTTTTATTTTTTCCACAACAAAATAATTGTTGCTATAAATATTGTGGTGTACAGACAAGTGTTTTTCATCCTTGTTGACTGAAATTCTACACAAGAAGACACCGAACACCAATTACAATCGCTGAGTGGGTGGCAGCTAGACCAGGTAAAACCAGTGGGTGTAACAAATTAGGTCAATTTTCCAAGAATAGATCAACCCTTCTTTCATCTGCCATTTGTCCTTACCAGTATGGAGTTTGGACATGCTTGGGGAAAGATCATGAATAATTATCAAAGGATACATGAAAAAATTGTTTTAAAATACCGTGTTGAAGGGCATCCTCGGCAAATACAGCTACTTCAGTGACAAAATAAAATCTGATAAAAATGGCCTATAGAAAGCACTAGTATTTGCGGAAACTGAATTTTCCAAAGGTTTAAACATACATTGTAATTTGTATTATTTGAACTGTCCCTCGGCTAGAACATTACAAGTAGACATTTGTCTGTCTGCTCCAAACATCATCATCAGCTTCCTTTTCTGTTGTGTCCAAATATATCACATTCTAACATAACAAAATGCTTTTCAGAAAAAAAATTCCTACAAGGGTGTCAATGGAAGGCATCATGCTATGCATCCGATGAAAGCAATTGTTGCTGACAAACGGATATACCAGGTACATGTCTCGACAACATAAGGGCAGGACCATTATACTTCTGATGGATGGACTGGTTTACACTAATCACTGATAATTAATTCCTCTTAATGACCCATCTAATGACACTTAATTTTCCTGTCAGACACTCCCCATCATGGACACTGAAACAATCTGATCTGACAGATAGTATGTAACCAGAGATAAACCAGCTCACCCTTTACAAACATGTATTAACTACGAAATTGAGACTGTCACTTCACTTCAACTTTCAAGTGTAATTTTGGAAAAGAATGAGCAAAAAAGGACGACTCTTTTGCGATGCCTTGAAGTATTATCAAGATTAAGTTGACTGTTCATACCGGCGTATGTTTCACAAGCGGATAACCTATGCGTATAACAAGTATAAACTTGGATACGCTCTGTTTACGTACAACACCGCAATCCCCCCATACCAACGTCCTGCCAAGTCTAACCCTCCCAGAACTAACAACAAGGAGATCTTGACATGGCATTTCTAGAATGCTGTGTGGGAGCCCTTCCATCGCTTGAGAGATGTCAGATTGGATTGAATCCCCAGTGCAGGGCTGCCTCCTGTGAAAAGAGGCCAGAAATGAAAAGAAAGTCTCCACGGCCAGTTAACCCTGTATAGATCCTGTCTGTCAATTGGGGGTAGGTGTGTCTGCGTAGATGTCGGCACTTTGACTTTGCTACTCAACCCAGTACAGAACGTTTGAACAAATACAACCACGCGTTGTACATGCCTTTACTGGTGCAGGTAATTTTACATTCCTTGTCACACAATGCGCACTGACTCTGTACCTTACAAGTCTCAAGGACAGACCCCTAGCAAGGGTGGATGTAAATTGACTCTCCCCTAACTCTTTGCTGGTAAAGATATTTCCCTAGACATTAAAAAAGGTACATGTATTTATCTTCACTATAATGGACATTGATTTTCTTGCGATTCTGTTGACACGAAAACAGATCTACACCGTAACACGCATATTTTTTATTTATCAGAATCATCATCTATTCCAGCAAAGATGAAAAACAAATAAAACGCATTACACAGTAACTAAGTATTTACATTTACATTTTTCCTTTTTTTCTTTGTCTAAAGACAGACACAGTTTCAATATTGGCCTTTCGATGAACTTAGGCACAAGCCGATAGTGAATGGTATCAGCACAAGGATTAGAGAAATAATGCCAACAAAAAACAAAGCCCTCTCGTTTCCTCACAAATTTTGTTTTTGTTTCTCTTTATGAATCTGCAATTTCTGTTGATTGGTCTATAGTAACATAGGCCCACATTCTGACCACAAATTTGTCTGCCAAAGAGCACAAAACATTGGAGTCTCCTGTGTCGAAATGGAATGCCAAATTGTTGCCTCGAGCAAACATTTTGCTGACATGCCTGCGTCGCCAGTGTAATGGCGTCTGCACATATGTGAGAAGTATGGATCTCGCTGTAGGATTGCTTCGCGGGTACCTAGAAAAAATGCATGGTAAGGTAGACACACCTTTGCAGAAAATCTATATAATCTACAGAGTGTCAGTTGTGACTATCGTCCAATATCAAACTTGACAACTAAGAGAAAAGTTCTGCACAGAAGGGAAGTCGTAAATATGGGCAAGGAGAGCTACTGCACTGACTTGGGGATTGGGACATGGGGAAAAATTTTTGGCTAAGGGTTAGGGCCATGGAATAGTATTTTGGCCAGGTTGGAGGTTGGCAAGAAAAATTTTCGGTCTCCTTCAGATCTTTCAACACATCCAAATGTGTAAACATGCATCTCTGAACCACTCAGAAACCACCAAGGTTTGTGGTAAGGGTGTGCTGCTAAGCTCTGTGGAAAATGTATGACCCCAGAGGGCTAAAGAACTGTGAAGAACACAGCATATTTATATGTATTGAATTCTTTATCACCTACAATGAAGGAGAAGTTAAAAAAAGGCTACATTCCACAACTGTGGACTGTAGTTTCTACAATAAACCATAAGGCTGTGAAAAAAAAAAAAAAACACTGACAGGCAACATTTCCTATCTGGTTACACATACAGCAGCAAACAGTCCTTTCTACTTTGAACTATGGCCAACAGGAAAGCAGTCTGAGTATCTCTTACTCCTAGTTCTGTCTTCTTCCAAGAAGTAAAATTAAGGGGTTGTTGTCTACATCTCTCTAACATGGGCCAATCTTGAACTACATGTATGGGGAAAGGTAGTGTTTTTTGCTTGTTATAATGAGTTTGATACATGTGTCTGGACAAACAAAACACAACAAGTCACTTTAAACAAACTCTCAACAACTTCTGCCTTTTTTCCAAGAACTCGGCTAGGTTGTTTTCCTGTACACTCATGGACTATTCCATTCTGCCAAGGTGCAGGGGTGCCTGAATGTAGTTAATAAGATTAGTAACATATCCTTTTGTATTTCAGTAATCTTTGCCACCTGCCACTTCTGGGAATCAAGTGTTTTGAGGGTTCTTTTCAAGGAAATCATATCAAAGCCAAGGATTTTTTCTACTCCAGTGAACAAGTTGGAATTTTTGACCTCTAGGTGACAAGCACCTTGACCTTGTATAGCCACCTTCTTTTCCTCTGTGGTTTTCTTGAATCAAAGTTTTCATTCATGGTTGTCAGTTTGAATTACTTGAAAGTTGAAGCTTAAATTTCTATACATTTATAACCCCATCCTCTTGCTTCTCTTGAAACGACACAATTTGGGAACATGGGTAGGATCAAAATTTGTAAAAATACTACACAGATTTTTCAGGATAGTCATACTATGTAATATGAGCTGTTACCACATTGTAATTTGTATGTTTATTCCTTTATCTATTCATCAACCTGCCAGCAGACCACTTAATTGAGGTCATGACAAAAAATGCCTGAAAGGCTGATGTATCTTCCAAAGTTCGGAACAGTAATAAAACACTTTTTGTTGGATGTGTATTATAGCTCCATGGTTGGATTAAATACAACAATTTTCTGACTGTGTTAGATTTTTGTGTACTCCCTGATGTTTGTCGTGGCTGCCTAAGGCAATGAAGTCAGGTGTTAAAATAATATTCTCTCCTGTCCCACGGTCTCACCTGACTACTATTTGTGGTAGCAGCTTCACCTTCACCTTCACCTTGTCCCACCCATTTCTGCTAGCAAAAACACTAAAACATTATGTTTTACCTGAATTTATCTGAATCTACCTAAATTTGTTGAACTTGAATTTTCAACAACCTAGCAAACCGCATGTACTATCACCTTATAAGAATATAAGTCACAGGACTAGTTCTTAAAACTTGTTACAAATGTGACCCTTATTTTCCTAGCAGCTACTGAGAAGGCCTTCTGGGGGTATGAACATGCATGTTTCCAACCTTATTTTTGAAAAAATTACTAGTTAAAAAATACAAACTGTCAACAAATGTGCATTACCGTGATTTGGGACTAGATAGTAGATTAACGAAGAGATGACCCCTAGAAACATGTTTATGTATGCTTACTTTAAGCAAGGAGTTTAACTTCAATTTAACCCTATTCTTCTTTTTTTTTACAAAAATATCTTATGCAAGAAAGTAGAAAGTACCTGGTGGTGACTTGACCCGAAGGTTGCATTTAATATATTTCTTTCAACCCCCACCACACCAATATTTCAGGCAAGGATCCTATCAAATTTCCTAAATTAGAGGGGTCGGTAACAACCCCTAAAGATCCCCCAAGAGAAATGAAAAATCACATGCATCATTTCATTTAGTCTTCAACCAGTAAACCAAGCAGCACATTAAGAAGCTTTCTGCCCGGGATCACGATAAAAACAATATCGCTGCTATTGTTTTGTTAGATCGAGCAAACAGACCTGGAAACCAGAAGAAAGGAGGTTCGCGCGATCAGGTTACTTACCGTAAGCAGTAAACTTCTCTGCGGCTGAGACGCCTCGGGGTCAGCCGAGGAGGAGCCGCCGGCGTTGGCGTCGTTTTTACACATCTTGGCGGTGACTGGCTCTTGCTTGCTGCCTTTAGACTTCTTGGTGCGGCTGTCACAGACTCTCTGGTGAAGTACCAAGGTGTCTTGGCGCTCCTGTTGGAGGCGAGCGGCTTGGGTCTGGACATCGCGTGCCTGGCATTCGTTATGATGCTTGCGGTAGAGTTCGATTCTGGCCCGCAGTCGGTCCACGATCGCCCGGCGTTTGGGGGACTGGAGATCCCCCATGCTTCCACTTGCGCACAGAATGGTGAAGAAATTTCCTACAAACCACCGTAAGGCACGCAAAAATATTCACCCGGCAGCGGGAGGACGAGGATTTTCTAATCTTCTCCCCCGACGATCCCAGAGAGGTGGGGAGGGGGGCAACTGTTGACAGTATGAAGAATGGGGAGACTGTCAGAGCCCGGCTCGACTCGAGCTCGCCTCACAAAAGCGGGGACCCAGCTGGCCACCTGGTCAGGACATCTGGGCACTTCTCGGGACTCTAGCAGGCTGCGACCGGTGTTGGAAAGGCTTGCACAGCTCGCTGTAGCGCCAGACTAGGCTGTACACGGCGCTCCTCCACCCTAATGCCTAGGTTGTGGCTTGTAACTTGTTGTCGTCACGGAAGCCATTGATGTATTCAGGCGGACTGATACCGTCGCACCACATGACGTAAAGAGGCGCGGCGTGCGTGGGAAAAAGTGCGTGAAGCGGAGAGACGCCCGTCTGGGTACATCCGCGCCGTAAGAATGTGCGGCTTTTAAACGGGATAAGATATAAAAACCGAAAACGCAAACAAAACATGTTTAAATCCTTATACAGAAGAATTTGAACTGAAGGCAAACATTGAGACGTTTTAATTTCTTTCTAGGTCATTACTTCTTTCCACAACGGCAATGAACATATGTGATCAGATGTGTTGCACCATGGAGGAGGTAGAAATGGTTGCACTCTTGTTATGTTGTTGCTGTGTCTACGGTTTGTACAACAAAAGCTGATGTTATGACCGTTTTAAATTGTATATTAGTAAAGTTAACGTTGTTTACCATACACGTAACAAAGGCGTTTTAAAACGTAACGTCAACGCGAAGGGACAAATGCGTTCACGAATTATTTTTCCCACAACATCCTTTGGACTTTGCATTGTCCGTGGCGTTTTTCTAGCAGTAAATTACGTTACACCAGTGACTGAGGGTTCATTGACTCCTAGTCTGGCCACAACGCCAGAGATGTGTACACGCACAAGGACACGGTCGGGGGATCGTCCGTTATACACGGCGAAAGGGGTGGGGACGAGATCATACGGTAGTGCTGGGTATCCAACAGACATGACAGAGGTTATCCAAACGTTTGGATGAAATGATGATGCAGAGGTGGAAGATCGTAATATTTTCTGACTGCCGGACTTTTCTGACAGACAAGCACAATTCTTAAACGCTGTCAGAAAAACCCGTTCTCCCACGGCAGAGCTATCCCGCGGCAAATACGTTAACCTTTAGCCTTGGGATATAAGTAAGGATATTTACGCCACGGAAGCACCTCTGCCTTGGGAGAATGGAAAAACCCAGCAGTTCACATCCACCCTAACATCTGCTGGGAGACCACTAATCTAAAGGGCCACTGTCATGACTGTGCTTTTCGCCATAGATTCGCAAGTCCAAAAAAACTTGCACTGCCTGCAACATGATTTTGCTGTCACTGACTTGACTTGAAAGCAAGATAAAGTCAATGACATTTTGATGTCTTTGAAAATAAAAGAAACGATGACGTGTGCACGTGGGCGAGCTAGCCATAGTTACTGAATAATTGATCGCCCTGAGCATTAGAGTATCACAGAGTTTGTGACCAGTAACAACCACACGTACTACACGTACGTCATGCCGCTGGATGCACCAAACTTGAAGAAATTGTCCCCAGGATAATTCCCTGTAATAGTTTTATTATTTCCGCACTCGCACACTTCAGCGGATATAACAGCCTTCAACGCAACACAGTGACAGTGACGATTACCGAAAAAAATCTAAGTGTTTATTTGTGTTTACCAACTTGTCTTGCTGGTAACAGAAGTCGCAAAATATAACTTAACAGAATATGAAATAGACAATATGGCTTATACCTTGAGCCAGTCATCACATTTTGCAAACAGTTTTTAGAGGTAACGTTATAGATATGCCACCAAAACGTTCAGCCGGTCCCATGAATTTTTAAGAGAACGGTGCCAAGATGTAAAACCTTAAGAGAATTAAGGGCTTCCATATAGTAACACAGATACAAGTAAGTAACTTAAAGCTAAGTTAGCGCAAACGCCTAGTAAGGCTAGGATTTCAAAGAAAGCAAATATACGTCGGCAAAACATACAATATTGTATATATACTGTAGGATAGGAAGTACGGCATCGCAAATGGAAGCTACAACACTGGAACGCGTCATTTCACCCTCCCTCAAGATGATTAATGGTTTGTCCCTCAACTCCAATATGTAGGTCCTTGAACTCGTAGTAACCGGTTCTGTTTACTTTGATGTACGTGAGCAAAGGTCCTGCGACGTCTGAGAACTCGCCACAGAGTAAGTGACTCATGTTTGCGTGGCTCATCCCCTTTACGGACAGTATCTCTGTGACTGGTCTCTTTCCTGTCGCGACGTCTCAGCGGTCATTTCTAAAATTGGCCATACTGGTCTGGCGAAAACGTGCAAGTCACAGAACAGACATGTCCTGATTGTTGAGGTGAAAACACTGGCATAGCTACAGCCAATTTCGGGTTTGAGGTTGGTAAACAAGGAACTGTACATGTTCAGGAGTTTCAAGATGTGGTTTAAAACCGGTATATATATCCACAGATGTCAGGAGGAACATTGGTAACGTATCATTTACTGCCCCGTTCTCCTTACTGGGAACTATTGCCATTAAAAAAACAACGAAGAAATATATCGAGGAACTCTACATCGAAATGATATCACGCCATGCAGGAAAAAAACATAGACGTAAGGATTTAGCTATGGTACTGAAAATAGTGTTACCCAAAGCACCGGAGCACGGATGAGGGCAAGCAGATGTTGAGCGGCATGTTTCCACTTTCTACACGTCTTGTGATTTTCAAATGGTAATAATCATAATACTTAATCCAACTCGAGCTCACTTTTAGAAAAACTTGCTAAAATACATATCAACGACAAATGATCAATATACAGATATCACCCATCCATATTTCAAATATCTCCTTCCTTTTTCTGTATCAATAATATTATAGGAGCCAGGAATATAGTAGTTTAGGCTCACATCATCAACATATCGACAGAGTTCAACATCACTAAACATTGAATGAATTTTCCCTCGAGGCGGGCCGATTTAAAAGTCAGACAGAAGCTTTTGACCCGTAAGATGTCCTTGGACCAATTAAGGCAGGTAAACAATCGCAGTCGAAACACGGTCTTCGACCATAAAACCTACCATTAGACATCTGGTAACGTTATAAATCTCTCTAAATATATCCTGTAGTGTTTCTCCAAACAACTCGCTCCTACCTTTAGCCTTTATATAGTACAATATACGTCAGATATCGGTTACAGATCTAGAGTGGGTGCCCTGGCAGCCCGTGACCCCACGCCCTTCTCCCTTTACGTGTTTTGTTTCCAAATAGGCGACGCAAATTTCCGTCTCGTAAACGGTCGTCGCCTTTCCGAACGGTCGTCGCCTTTTTTCAGAACGGTCGTCGCCTTTCGGAGCGGTCGTCGCCATTTCCGAGCGACCGAACTTCAGTACGTTCCGAATATCCGCGACATGTTCGGGACTTCCCCGAGTTCTTTGAATGTGTGAAATCACACTTCCTGAAGATAACATCGCGACCGAAGACGGGCCAGAACTTGGCTAGGTGGATTGAAGTTGCGTGGGTGCTAGTACATGCATTATAATTATAAGTTCCGGGGGTTGAATTATCTAGGTTAGAACTAGGTTAGTGTTTGAGAAATTCTCGATTGGAACGGGAAGGGTTTGGGTAACTATGAACTCGAATGTCTCTGGGTATTTATTTTTCTTGTATGTGAACATGTCCTCTCCCTTTTTTCTTTGTTTCCTTTTGAAATGCGAATAAACATTATTTGAAAAAAAAACCCCTCTGAACTAGAACGTTTGTAGGTTTTCATACATTGCTGAATTTGAAACGGGGGCGAGAAAAACTCCACATGTATTTTTGGAACAGCCCATTGTGCGAGCATGTAATTTATGAATGCTGCAGGATGGTCTGACTCAGAAACATTCATTCGGAAGCACCATCACACATGCAGGCATTTACTCTGACCAAGGACATTATGTCCTGACTGACTGACTCACAACTCCACCACAGCCGGGTTTTATTTTGTTGTCTCAGTGCTTGCCCAGCATAGCAGGCCATTTCACACTTGTCACCAGCATGGCATTGATGTGCTACCCAGTGAATGTGTCGTATTTACATACAGTGCAGTGGTGAATGTGTCAAGTATTAACATTCAGCAAGGTAACAAAACATAGACATTTCGGGATGAAAATAGCTTTACAAGTTTGTCAAAACTCCTGTCAAAGTAAGACATTGTCCCCCTTCTAAAACAGCAGGTCCTTTATTAATCCTACATGAATTTTACATAAACGAAAGGAATACATACCACAGGGATTGAGAAATATAGCACAGGGACGGAATCTATGTTTGTTTTTGGTTGAAGATTCATTTGTCATTTGTATAAACGGCATTATATGAACCCTTCTTCAGTTTGCTGGCGAAGGGAAACAAGAATAGGCTGGAGAAGATCCAGGCCTAGGATCGTATGCTGATCTTATAAAATCAGCAGTTGAGGAGACAAGTTACTTTTCTGGCCCGCCTACGGTCGCCATGTTATGGACTGAGTGCGATTCACACATTCCAAGAACTCCGGGAAGTCCCGAACATGCCGCGGATATTCGGAACTGAAGTTCGGTCGCTCGGAAATGGCGACGACCGCTCCGAGAGGCGACGACCGTTCTGAGAAAAGGCGACGACCGTTCGGAAAGGCGACGACCGTTTACGAGACGGAAATTTGCATAGGCGACGTCACACGCAGTAATCAGAGGCGGCAGATCATACTAGCCCGCACCGGTCCAACCGCCGACGTGAGGCCGGCAGCGTAGACTTGCGGCGGCTTAAAAATCGATTCAGTCCGTGTTTTGACGCACTGCATGAAGACACACCTTCGCTGGAACGTCAGGGGATCTCTCGCTACCAGACTGCGCCGGCTCGGATTTGTGTACGTACGTGTTTGCGTACAGGAATGCTACGGCTAACAGATCGACGATAAACATAAAAGGACAGTGATGTACTGGAGCTTGTAAAGATCATCACTTCCGGGTTGCAAAGATTGCAGTGGATTTTTTCAGTACGTGCAGCCGGCACCATGATGATTCGGTACGCCATTATCTATGCTTGTTCAACTTCAAGGGCGAGGAACGCGGGCAAGCCATGGAGCTGCAGTGGACTGGCGTATCGAGCAATGTCAACGTAAGGACTATCCTACCTTGTAAGGACTATCCTATTTGGTATTCAGGGTGTACTAGTGTATGGCCATATGCTTCCACATGCCAGTATACATCAGTATACATACATACATACATACAAACTATATATATATATATAGTATATATGACGTTGATATAATGTCCTTGCTGAAATGTGTTTAACGTTTCAAAGCTCAACAGGTTTTTATTCGATGTCGAAGGGCAAGGGGCAAATATACCGCAACCACACCCCCACACATTAGAAGTTTTTCTCAAAAAGCTTTACTTCAAAAAGGCTTCAGGGGCTACACGAAATCTGTTTTTTGGTCGACAGCAATTTTTGTAAGGGAGTGGTGAAACTTCAACTTTCTGTACCGTCCGTAGATGCTGGTAGATGATAAAAACGCAGGTTTGTAGATTCATTCAACAGGTTTACGAAAAAAAAAGTAAAAGAGACAACATGTGAATGGCCAACGCTTTGCTTTCGTGGCAGAGCTCCCCCATCAGTCCCAGTTACCGAAAGGTTGTTTAACACAGGGTTGAACGACCTCTGGTTTCTTTTCTCGATACTTCGATACTCCGGGATCCTTCACCAAATCTTCAGGAAAGTACCAGAAAGGAACAAGGAGCGGAGCTTCATCATGATCAAGCCTAACGGCGTCCAGCGCGGGTTGATAGGCGAGGTCATCAAGCGCTTCGAGCAGAAGGGCTACAAGCTGGTGGCCATGAAGTTCATGCAGGTAGAAAATTAGAGGCCATGAGGGTTGGAAAATCTTTAAAGGCATGTCGTTGCAAGTGTTGTCTCTGTTCGGCATTTTACCGCGTGTTCTTGCTTTCATTATTGCTGGAGTGAGACACAAGCTTCGCCTTTGGAGTGTTTGCTGGATTTTGTGAGAATTGATTTCTAGAATTCTGCTTTTTAATGCTTGAGCAATTTTTCCGCGGAATTTTCTGAAATAGATTTTGCTCCAAGTGTGTTCTTCGGTGCTGTGGAGTTTGCTAGAATATTAGAAAGCTTCTTAGTGTTGATTGGCTGACATACTTAACTACATCAGTAGTTAAATGCGAGGCCTTTAAAGATATTTGGCACATGACAGTGTGGTGGTACAACTCCTGCATGGAGGGAAGTGTCTAATCATCGAACTACAAAAATTTTCTGCATTCAAAACTCAATTCTCAACATAGAAATGTCCCAAACACATTACATTGATTCACCTTTTTTTCACGTAATATGAACAACAATCAACATTGAAAAGAATATTTATTAATGTAAAAAATGCTGTGTTCTTTCTTGTTTCCAGGCTTCAGAAGAACATATGCAGAAGCATTACACCCACCTGCAGTCAAAGGCGTTCTACCCTGGTCTGTGCAAGTACATGTCAAGTTCACCTGTTGTTCCAATGGTGAGACTGTGTTATAACTAACCTTCATCATTCCTGAGGTAACTCTACAAGTCACAAAATTTAAACAAATGCCAGTTTACCTAGGTTTAAACGCAAGTAACAAATTTAATAGGTACCTTACCACCTTTGCATAACATGTGCAACATTAGTGATAATCAGATGGCATATTTGTGTTGTTTTCAGGTGTGGGAAGGTCTGGATGTGGTGAGGACTGGACGTGTAATGCTGGGAGAGACCAACCCTGTAAGTCCTCATGCTCCCTCATTTTTGCTGTCTAGATCTGTAAGATCACAACACCACTGTTTGGACCAAACTCATGATTATATTTTTTCTCAGGGTGACTCCCTGCCAGGCACCATACGTGGAGACTTCTGTTTACATGTCGGAAGGTAGGTGTCAACATGTCAGACATCTTTTACTCTTAAAGATGCGCTTTCAATGATAGGTTGTTTTCAAAAGTGTTCTGCCTTAAATACTTGGTGGTGAATGCTAAGCTTGAGCTGTGTGATGTAGTGTACATGAAAGTAATTGACTGGTTTTTTTTTCAGAAACCTTGTCCACGGCAGTGATTCCATTGAGAATGCAAATAAGGAGATTGCACTGTGGTTCAGAGAGGATGAAATTGTGACCTACACCGCTGGCCAGTATGACTGGGTGTACGATGACTAGAACACCACCGTCTGTCACAAGCCAAGTCAGGGCCTGGAACAGATTGTATCACAATCATAATGTTATATGAATACCTCCCTTAATATATTGTATTTTCCATACAAACCTGCAATTCACTGTAGTCTGTTCCATTCAGTACAATGTGCTGCACAAATGGTGGAGGTCTACTCTGCACATCATGCCAGTATTAGGTAGGGTTTATTTCTATTTTATCAATTTTGGCTCCAATGTAAATGTCTTGGAAGTAATTTAACTGTAGATCTGTAAATAGAAAAGTCTGTAAGGTGTAATTATCGCTCACAGATGGTTTATGCTAAATTTTGTATCATGCTTGTAGATGGTACAATATGAATTATGACTAAGTGTACAAAAAATACACTTCCCATGTGTTGTAGAGGTAATAAAGGTACTGAAAGTCATGTTTATTATACAAAGTACAAAAGCTGCTATAGGTCTGTATCATGGTTGGTGCTATTGGAGCATGGCAGCTCAGGTTTTATCCAGACTATTTTGCAATATTACTCAATGTACATAGATGAAAGTAAATTATTGAGTTGTAGATATTCATTTAGTATGGCCTATAACTATCTTGAATGTGACAAGGTACTATAAACAGTGAAAAACATAATCATGCATACTATCAGTACACAGCTTGCATGTAGTATCTTCCTCACAAAGTACATATGTAGTATATTAGACTAATTATGCATCAAACATATCAACCTACTCTAGTGCACAACCATGTAATTTTCCCTGCCAACATTTGTAGTCTGTTTGCTGCCTTCCACAGAGCTGTAATAAGTAAAACTATCACTAGGTGGCGCTGAGTGATGGTCTGTATTTGCACCTCATTATGCTACTCCAGTCATTACGGACAAATGACCAAATCATTGGCAGGTGAAACTACACTATACATGGATATGTAAAAAACAGAAGGCCAAAATATCATATGACTAATCAAGCTGAAAAAACTTTTATTTCAAGTCACACCTACAGAAAAATGAACAAGAACCATGACAACTACATGCGCTTGAAAACTAGCTACTTGTCAATCTTTGGGGACATTAAATCTCTTCTTCTGAATCAGACTCTGGTGCATACAATATACCGTCATTGTTACCGTTTCAGAGGAGATCACGCTAGCATCAAAGTACCCGGAGAAGTTATAGGAAAAAAAGGAATCCTTCTGTTCAGACTTTTTTGCCTCTAGATCTGCATTTACTCACATCCTCTTGTGTAAATATGGGAGGACAGTGTTCAAGAACCGAGCCAATCAACTCATCACAGAAAACGTGCCAAAATTTAGCAGGTGTCGAAAGTGGAACATCAGGATTCCTGGTAATGTAAAAGGAGCTCCCTTCAAAAAAACTTGCCATTCCTCATATACATGTAATTCTCTAGACTCAACTGATGATTCACATTGTAAGAAGGACTGAGATCACCTATCACCTGCACACTTACATGCACGGTGGCAACTGGTGCAGCAGTTATGGTCTGGCTCTACAGACACCGGACTGTCTTCAAAATGACCTAACAGCCGTTTTCTGATACAAGTTTCACCACTCTTAGCTTCCACAAACGCTTTCACAGCTTTGTCAACTTTCGCGAGTTGCTCATCCTTGTAATACAACACGGCGTCTGCCTTCTTGCCATCACGACCTGCCCTGCTGACCATTTGGAGAATATTCTCCATGTTTTCTGGAGGCCCATACATGACTACCTTACCAACATTCATGAAGTCGATACCATTACCCAGGGCACCAGTAGCCACCACAACCCTACAGCTCCCCTCTCCAACTAGGGACTTCCTAATTCTGTCCTTGTACTTGTCCAGAGTAGCACTAAAATATATCCCAATCAGCATATTACTGGAGACCTTCTCGCCTACCCATGCATCAGCCCCCAGTTCATACTTCAGGTGGCTGAAGACCTTATTTACTGCTTTCAAGTGTCTACAGTAAATAATGATACAGTTCATATCCAGCCCTTTGTCACGAATCTCATCAATAATCCAGCCAAGGGACACTGTTTTGTCACGAGGGAAGGGTACCAGACCTAGTCTAACATTGCGCCTGTTAGGACTGGCTCTTACTACATGGGCGTCCTCCATCTCCAAGACCATCCGCACCTTTTGTACCGACTTCAGGTCAGCTGATTCTGTGAGAGCCAGGATTGGGGTTCCTGCAGAAAAAAAATGGTCATCAATTATAAGGAATGTGTAATACAGTAATTGAATAAAGACCTTTATTGCAGATTTCATGTTAAGCAAACATGATATGTATCATATAATTTATATACAAATCTTTAATGTATTGCATAAAAGGGCAATAAAAACAGACTATGGATATTGGCTTATACATTATATAACTACATGTATAATGAAGTTTTAAAAGGACCTGTTTAACCTCCTTGGTTTTATATACAAGTGATTTTAAGTTTTGGCTTTTCCACATTCACTCAGACTCACCTTCTGGCACCAGAGACCTGAGCTCACCAAGTCTATAAAAGGCTTCACGGAGTTCAGACTGATACTTGGATTGTTGGCTCCTGTAAGAGAACAGAGTTCCTGTCACTAGATATGTCTAATACATATAACGGGGTGTGGTCAGGAAGTGTGGTCAACTGGTCATACAAATCTACTTCCTAATTTCCAAGCAGATGTAGGAGGAGGCGATTAGCTAAAACGTATGTGGTAAAAAAAAGTAAAAACGTGCATAAAACAATGGTAAAAAGGTAAGACCATATTATATTTCATGATCGAATGTTTGTCTAAGTTCATTAGAAATACATGTATACTGCTTTATAAATTCTTAATCTACTTGCAAGAAAACTCTTTTCTCGCCTCACTTCGTTACAAGTTTGAACGGAAAAGCAGAGGCATTAACTATGCATATGCATCAAGCGGTAAGATCAAAAGAAAGTCATTGTCCAAATCGATGACGTGAGACCCTTCCGTGACCACTGTCGGGGGAAAGCGGTCTGTTTGAGCTTGGTTTGAGCTATGCATATGCATCTTGCATGTCATTAACACTATAGCAACGAAAGTTGACTTCAAAGGATCCCAAGATTAACTTGAAGTTGAAATCAGCCTAAGTTAAAGAAAAATCCAATGCAAAAACGTTTAATAGATTTTGAGAAGTGATATTTACCATTTATAAGCCAGGTGGGCCTCGTCCACCACAACTCCAGCGAGGTTTTCCTGGTAGACTGCTGAGGACAACATCTCCCTCCACTCATCCTCAAGTACCCACCGCTCAGGCCCGCCCAACACCAGCTGGAACTCTCCCTGCGCGATGCCCTCGTCGTCACTTCCACCAAGCTGTGCCGCTTTCACCCCGATTGCTGTCGCTTCCCGTATCTGGTTCTCCATCAGATCCACGGGTTGTAGATGTAGATCCTCGGTGTTTTGATCCTCTTTGATCAGAGCGACTTGTGGTGTCACCACGATGACAATGGGGTTGACGCGGCCCAACTTTTCGAACACCATGGGGGCGATCTGGTAGACCAAATCTTTGCCAACCCCAGTAGGCAAAAACGCCAAAACATCTTTCCCGCCGACGAAAGACTTCAGTGCCTCAAGTTGCTCAGGTTGGAGTGAAGAAATGCTGCCAAGTTCAGCTAAAACTGACGCGATTGCCAAGTCGGTAACTTCACTTTCACTAGGTGCGGTAGCCATGTTGACAGCGATAAGGGACCGTACAATATTTTTCCGGGGGAGGAGCTCAACTATGGTGGTGGGTGATGCTGTTAGGTGGGCATGAAACCACCCTCCACTAAATATTGCACAGTCCCTAACTCAAAAGTTATCTCCAAGCAGATGCCTGGCAGATAAAGGCTAGGGAAGATCTGTTTTGCCGACCTTGAAAGAAAGACGCGATATGACCGCTGTTAAATTGTTTAAGGGTTACTTCCCGGATGGATTTGATAAAGATTGATTGATTGATAGATAGATTGATTGATGCATGTAACTGCGTTACATGAAGAAACCTACAATGTTAGTTAAAGCGCACTCTACCCGATAGACACGTTAATCATAAATAAGTTCCAACTCTGGTGGACTTCGGAAAATATGAAGTTTATGTCGAAGTTCAGGCGAACGAAGCCTCGTCAACAGCAACAGGAACTGTCACGTCATTTGACAACATTGCACCGTCTCTTCGCCTCCAGATCTAGAGCTTCTCACCAAATGGAAGAAGAAGCCATCAATCAAAATCAAAAAGTGGTCCTTCTTTTGTCCGAAATACCCCGTATAGATTACACTAACTACAGTATTATCTATAACCTCCCATGACCCCACGCCCTTCTACCTTACATGGTGTATTGTTTTCAAATGCGTGAACGGTAACGGGTTAGCCTTCCTTCTCTATGTTATTGCAAGTAACCGTTCACGAGAAGATTCTTTAACATTGCCACCGAATTTAAGCTAAAAGTGAGGTTGGTTACCCACAAAATGAAGAAAACATACGCTTTGCGAACGGTTTGATCAAAAAGTCCCTGCAAAAGTTATAATGGAGAATAATCTTTTAACCAAATGGTTTGGTAAAAGCAGTGCTTTGTTATCAACAATCCTATCACGGTTAAGCTTCTTATGTCGTTATCTGAACCGTTGACCCCATTATCAGCTGTATTTCGTCCATAAATAAATCATATACGGTATATCACATGGGATTTCCATACGTCACACCCATATAAGTAGAGATCAGGGCGATACCAACGGCTACTGAAATGCGGGGTATTTTATGTTACCTTTCAGCAATATTGTCATTCAAAAATCAACGCCCTATCATCTACATGGCACCTTTCTATCAATATATCTATTACTAGTATTATAACTAAATCTAAATTTCTTAAACTGCCGTTTGATTCGATGTTAACAGGTTTTGATAAACAGAATACCCCTTTTTATAAAATGAAATAGTCAAGCTTGCCGCGTGTCACATGTCAACCGGTCTCTTTTCTCTCCCGGCCGCCATCTTGTGCCTGCATGCTCGCAACTCTCGTCTGGATCCTCCACCAAATCTTCAGTAAAATGGCAGAAAACAAGCGTCAGGAGCGGAGCTTCATCATGATCAAGCCCGACGGCGTCCAGCGCGGGCTTGTGGGCGAAGTCATCAAGCGCTTCGAGCAGAAGGGCTTCAAGCTGGTGGCCATGAAGTTCATGCAGGTAGAACAGGCCACGAGGGTTTTAATTTTTAAAGGCATGTGGTTGCACGTGGAGTAACGTTAGGCCCTTTACTCATTCTTACCACGTTTTTCTGCAATTAAACAAATTTGCAAAATTTTCCGAAATTCGACTATTTGCTGGGTTTTGTGGGCGTTGGTTTCTTTTATACGCTGTCATTGTTACATTGCCAAGCAACCTCCTTGGCTTTAGCAATAATTTTCTGAAATTGATTTTGCCGGATGTCGAAAGCACATCATTGGGATTTTATTCTTGCACCTATGTAGTGGAGGTAAATTGAATATCTTATTGCCCCGCCTGTATGAAAAGGTCAGGACGACTTGAAATGACAATGTAAGCTTTGTTTGAACGCAACAAGACTGGCAGGGCACGCCAATAATTGTGCCGAAAGGCATGGATGGGTTCGGTCAATCAAACAACAAATAAAATAGCATGTATCAAAGCTGTTATACTTGTTTGCAGGCTTCAGAGGAACACATGAAGAGCCACTACATTGACCTGGCGAAGAAGCCATTCTACGCTGGTCTGTGCAAGTACATGTCAACCTCCCCTGTTGTTCCAATGGTGAGATACATTTATACATAGTCAAGTCCAATAATACTTGTAAAACAATTAAACCAACTCTATATCACAGATAGCTTTCCACATGTAAAATTTTCTTATTATCTTACCACACCAGTCAGTACATAATTGTTAGCCTCTACCAGGCTCCGCGGATCGCTGGAAAAATAGTAGAAATTGGCCGAAATAAAGGGATAGTACACCAGAGAAGATCCAGCCGGCCATAGAAGCTCCAATTTGCGACCCACGGAGCTCAAAGAAGCTTGCGACTCCGCACAGGCTCCGTGGATCGCAAATTGGAGCTTCTATGGCCGGCTGGATCTTCTCTGGTGTACTACTTTATTTCGGCCAATTTCTACTATTTTTCCAGCGATCCGTGGAGCCTGGTAGAGGCTACATAATTGTTACAATACCTCGCTAACAATTTTTTTATGGTATGTGAGGAGCCAGACTACTAACTAACTCACAAACACACTCTTACCCATGTTTGTTTTCAGGTGTGGGAAGGTCTGGATGTGGTGAGGACTGGACGTGTGATGCTGGGAGAGACCAACCCTGTAAGTCCTTTCTTTCATTTTTTGCCAAGCCTAGATCTAGAAGACCACAACACCGCCGATTCCATTATCTATACCTCATTTTATACATAGTATGCACTGTTAGACACAAAATGTATAATTTGGATACTCTATAATGTTCCGTTACTTGCCTTTCATATCTGCACCAATATCACCATAAGATTGCTTGTAGTTAAGATCATGTTCATGTGATCCCTAGGGTTTTACTTCTTACTGGTAATCTTTTACTAATATATCATTATGACATGAAATTTTCCTGGTGGGCTCCCCTAGGATTGTCATGCCTCAGTTCCCTTAAGACACTCAGCATGATGTTACGTCAAACAAAATAGAGATGGGTAAAAAAAAATTCAGGCTGGCTAGAACACTGATCATGTCATACCATTTTTTCTCAGGCTGACTCCAAGCCTGGTACCATCAGGGGCGACTACTGTGTTGAAGTTGGCAGGTAGGTGTCAGCAGCAACAAATTTTCCATTTTGAAATTGAAAGAAGGGTTAATGTTACATCAAAATATTTTTGTTAGTCTATTTCCGCTCCGCTTACTATCCTCTCCCATAGCTTCTTTTTTTATCATCTCTTTCCAGCACTATTTCCCCCCCTATTAGAGTTGTGTTTTAGTACCTCTGGCATAGCCCCATCTTTTCAGTTGAAGGTTTGAAGTTTTATCAGAAATCCATGTTGAAAGACAGGTTTAAATGTATAGGCCTTTAATGGGAAAACATATATTAAACTGTATTATGAAGTGTACCTGATTGTACTTGACCGTTTTTGTAGGAACCTTGTCCACGGTAGCGACTCCGTTGAGAGTGCGAAGAAGGAGATTGCTCTGTGGTTCACAGACAAGGAACTTGTGACCTACACCGCTGGCCAGTTCAGCTGGGTGTATGAAGACTAGGACCCCGCCGTCTTACACAAGCCAAGTCACAGCCTAAGCAGACTCTAGGGAATTCATGTCCCCTACATTCCTGTAAGCCTCAAAAGTGTCTTTATGTTTCTGTGACGTCCTGTCTGTCAAGATGAATATTTAACATAAAAATAAACCTTAACCTGTCTCTGTACACTAAACCCAGGTATTGTGAATTCGATCACCCACTGTGTAATGTGTTAGCAGTTGATTGGACAACTTGAACTTTCATCATGTTCAGGTCAGTTACACTTACAGTATCAAATGTGAGAAATTCCCAAACTACTCAAACTAGGACCTTTTCCCCACTTTGCATAAAACACACACTTCAGTCATTGCAGGAGTGTCATTAGTTTTGGTCATGTCCAAAATGGTGCAATGAATTTCCAGCATTGATTTGTGCGTGTACTGGAGGGGTTTGTGTTGGGCCCCAGCTTGGTTTGTGCAGGACTAGGATATCATTAAATAAAGCTAGAATGCACCAGAGCTCCTTGTCATGTTGTTTTCTTGTAGCACTTTCCTTTGAACTGGTCTGAATGAAATGACAACTGTCGATGTATGGTAAAGTGTATAAGTGTGACAGTAAAATGTAAGTTCACACAATTTTTAAAGTGGAATGCCACCATGATATTCAGTCATCCATCAATGTGCACAGTGAAACTCAATTAGTTTTTAAATCCCGCTTCGTTGATCTAAAAATATATACTTAATATCAGACAAAGAGCCTGTGTATGTGCCTAGCCACGTACTGGCCCCATTGCTTCCCTCAATTACAACTTTCTATGCAGTGCAGATCCTAGCCTTGCCCTTGTCTTCCCTAATTGGAGAGCACTGATCATGAAAGACCTTTAAAATTAAATATGACACAAGCATGTGATTGCACAGTGTCCTTTATTTTATTACAAAATTCATAGCATTTCATGGTCATGGAATGATCACCAGTGAATAATCTTTAAAGATTAGTAAAAAAGATAAAAGTTATGAACATGATGGTAACTCTTGACCACTCAAATCTGTCATCTTAACATGATTTTTAGACACAAACAACAAGTTTGCCATTAAACAATAACTATAACAGCCACTTCAAAGATCTTGAAAATGACTTTGAAATGGATCCATTTTTTAAAAACTATGAATGCAAATGGCCCCAAACAGTTTAATATTTAATATTGTGACTAAATCTATGACAAATGTGTACATCTTTAAGTCCTGTTACCACATCTTACCGAGCATTTCGCCTTTTTTTGACAACTTACAAGTCTGACAATAATGTCATAATGACAACATTTTGATGGGAATAGTAAGACTTTCCAGGTATCATTGAGATGCACGTGTCAAGTGTCATATTAAGTGAACTAAAAGTGAGGTCTCAGCTTTCAAATCAAACTTTGATGATCCTTGGTACCATTCTCATTAGTTTCCGATTGCTTCCATATTTCAAGCATAGACATCAAAACTGGTAATAAGAGATGATATCAGGAGTGACTAAAAGAAAAGCCATCCTGAAAGAAGGATGACTATTTTTACTCTTTAACTTTCATTCTCATTGCTTCTGAATTCACTGATATAGCATTCTCTCTGAATCATGATTTTGTATTTCAATTTGCAGCCATGAATATTTTTAAGTCACAGCTTCCAACCAAAATATTCACAATACTCAAGAGCGGTGATTTTAGTTTTGTGAACATACTCGGATGGTGTTAACATATTGTCAACTTCATGAATTACAACACTAAATTCATTTTCGCAACAGTGAAAATCACAAGTTCATTGTACATGTATCTGAGTGAAACAATCATAGTACTATGGAAGGCAGAACAAATGTACACAGTGGAATGAGTTTGTGGTGAGAACAGAAAATCTTATAACTTACAGTTATCTGTTTGACCACATTGTCACATTGTTAATGTCATGGATTACAATGTATCTGTTATAATATACATGTTAAGAGGTAGCTGTATACATGGTATATATGTGGCCATAAATGCATGATATCTCCTAATGATACAAATGCATGATATCTATTAATGATATAAACACACACTACTATATCCCATTTAAAAACTAACCACATGTTGTTGGCATAGACCTATCATTCAACAGTATAGTCACAACTTTTTTCACAAGGAACACATTTAAGACAAAACGGTTTTCCTTTCCTTGCATAATGCACATTTTATGACTCTAGTTCCTTTGCTACCACAAACTTTCCAGTTTGGGATAGGATATTGCACTTTGCCTTTATTCATAAATATTTGATTTATTTATCCAACACAATCACCATTTAAACATCACATTGGTTGTAGTACATGTACTAGTACACTACATGTGTTTCATCTTCATGTAACATTGATTACATAGTTCAAAGACAGTGTAGAATTATTGGAGACAGACATTTATCATCAAACAGTAATTGTACAGACCAAGAGCCGCACTAGGCCTACAGCTGTTGGCGATCAGGCAGCCTGACTAAAATCATGCTCCACCTACATGTACTAACCCAACCAAGCACCCCCCCCCATCTGTCTGACAATGAGAGACTGTAATACATGCTAGGCATAAGCCACTTTAACATAATCATAACAAGAGTCTGACCAAGGTGTGATACAAGAACAAAAGTTGGGAAAGGGTAAATCATGCTTAGGTGCAGTGACAGTAGAAAATGGTTGCCAGGAGACATAAGTACCGTTAAGGACCTAAGTCACCAAAACAAATTTTTATCAGAGTCATAAAGTACTTCTGTTTCTTAATTATTTAATGAGCATATCATTGCCATTTGCTAACTATGGTTGGTATCAATGTTGGATCAGACTTTGAAATCTCAAGAAGCGTAAATTTTTTTTGGTCATCTTTTTTAAAACTCATATTTGTGTTCATTTCGAAAGGAGTGATGCAGGAATCTATTGTATGTTTATTGCTATGTTTTTGATCCCTGCAAACACTTTTAGATTTTGTTTTACCAAAAAATTCATGTTTAGACATTGCAAGATATTTCAA